TCTATTGCAAAAGAATTTCCGGCGGATATTCAAAGCTCAGAAGTATTATTGGATGAGTGTCTTCATTTTAAAGAATTAATGAAAACAGAAGAACAATTATTTACATCGATTGAAAATACAGTGACATTTACAATGTCATCTTACATTAAAAGTAAAGAGCTTGATGACGTTTTTCCAAATCTTCATATAGTCCTGAGAATGTTTCTTAGTACAGCTGTGGCAAATTGTACCGGGGAACGGGCATTGTCAGTATTAAAACGAGTAAAAAATTACTTACGGTCTTCTATGTCTGAGGAAAGGTTAAACGCTTTAGCTTTATTAAATATTGAAAATGAATTATTAAATTCTATTGATTTAAATGATTTAATAAATTACTTCTGCTCTACAAAAGCAAGAAAAAAGCTGTAAAATAAATAAATCTAAACATTTTTATAATTTTGTTTTTTTGTTTTTTGTTTTTTTTACAATGGGCTATAGAAAAAAATGTTTGCCTAGGGCTATGATCGGTCTTAATCCGGCACTGCCTACATCGTGTTTACACCAAAAGGATTAAGTAATATATACCTAAAGTGGCTAATATGACGTATTCGATTATTCATCGATTATTTGATATTAATTATGCTGGTAATAATTAAATATCGATTAAATAAATCGTTTATACTACGTTATTTGTACCACAAAAATACATAGTTAGGTAGGTACAAGGTGCTTACAAATGTATTGCGAGTAGGTACGAGTTTATAACTTTATAATATGCATTTACAACAATCTCAGAAATTCAGAAGAGTTCAGAATCTAAAACAGTATACTCTGTGTTAGTGGAGTGTAGAACATTTTTTGTGTGCGAGGCCCAATGCATTTTTATTTTCATTTGTAAAACAAAAGTTTGTTTCTCCACAGGACACATCTGCTGTAGTACAAAAAAACCGAAGGAAAAGATGGTAATTAAGTGTATTTAAAAAATTGAAAGATCAGATTTTGAATAATTACATTATTTAAAATTTTAAAAAGAAAAAGGGTGAGCATCCTTGGTGAATCCTTTGTATATAATTGATTTTAATCAATTTGAATGTAAGCTATTTTGTTGTAAAAAATGTATAAAATGTTATTACATTTATGGCTTACCTATAGGTTTGCGTTGAAAATATCATTAAGGGAATTCCATACCGACCGTTTTTAAGGATAGGCAATTTTTAGACAATCTGAATAGTACGTGCGTGAGTGGCGTGCATGTGTGTGTAGTAAATGATAATTATTGTGAGTGACTGACGTCTGACGGCGAGCTAGATAAGCGTTGATCACTCGCATTTGCTGCACGTGTCACATTATGCCGAACAACAAATTTTTTATTTTTTTTTATTTTAGAACCATTTAGTTGATAACTATTGCAGTTCAACAATTACAGATAGTGATTATATAAACCAATTAAAAATTAAAATATACATAGAAGCAATAGAAATTGGTGGTAATTAGACTCTAAATATACAAAAGGTATTGATGTGGAAATAATTATATAATTATGATTATGGATTCGGGGAAGATATAATTAAGGAGAGGCGGTATTCTTAGATAGTAATGAGTTTAAGAGTGTGGATAAAAGTGAAATTAATGGTGTAATGAGGGAATTTAGTTGCTTAACAAACTGAGATAAAATATTTGAAATAGGTTCATTGTTAGAATTGTTTGAGTTGCTTGAAGTTGCTTCTGCTTATGTCTTGGCCCTGGATTTTTCTTTGTATCAAGTGTATCGGGGGAACTATACTGTGACTGGCAAGACCTCCTTTGACGGCACTAATGGTGGTACAGGTGGCCATTCTTATGATAAGTGTTCAAAAATTTCGTTAATGAAGTACAACCTTTATAGTTCGCTGTATGTGCGCCACTGCGCCAGAACACAACTCACTTTTCGCAGGCAGTTCCGAGGATTTGAAATAATCCACGGTGTTATGGTTGCTGCCGCATTTGACACAATGTGGAGATTCACTTCAGTAAGAGCGAGTGTGACCGTATTGCTGACATTGTTTGCATTGTGGAGGGTAACGGGATTGATGCGGTCTTTCGACAACTATTTTGGAGTTTAGGAGGGAGGATAATTGGAAAATGCTTCGGTTAAAATCCATTGCTTCTAGGACAACGGTAAATAGTGGTAGAGTCTGTTTGCTAACTAGGTATTACGGACGTTTAGCACACTTATGATTGAGAAGCCCAAATCCCGGAAGGCCTTCTCTATATCTTCAATAGGTATAGTATGATGTAGATGGCGGATAAACACTTTGAATGGCGGGTATGATGGGGCACCCCACGTATGGCATTCTAAATCCGAGTCGTTGCAATATTCGACAAGTTTATGGTAACCATCACAGTTACGAAGTTTGATAATTAGGGAGGAACCCTTGGCGGTAGCCGTAAAACCATCGGTACCCACCAGAGATATTAAATCTGCTTTCAACGAGGAGTAGTTGGTAACATTACTCATGACAATTGGCAGTGCTGGCATGCTCGTAACCTCGACTTTTTCATCGCCGAGGTGGTTTGATGGTAACGTATTAGGTTCATGTTGTGCTGAAGGTGAGACTGTGACGAGAGGGGGACTTAAAACGTAGGGGAGGTTGTCATCCACGGAGAGGGGGGGAACCGATTTTACGTCACTTAAGACTTGCTTTTCTTCAGACTTGTATCGAGATTTGAGGAAGAGGAGAATGAAAAATTCCGTTTGGTCGACTTCTGTGTAGTAGCGCGGGACATGACAGACGGGTCTGCGTATTATCGTGCTAACACGTGAACATAATTAAATAATAGTAATGATAGTGCGAGACGTAGTGAACGTGCGTGCTCGACGGTGGACAACACAGAACTGAACAACAAATTTATTTCATGTCGAAATGTTGTAAATGATGGACCTAAACGAATTCCAACATACCGACTTGAGTTTTACACCGATAATAATTTTGAAAACAAATTTCGTTTTGTTTTTCAATCAACTTTGGATCCTTCGAGCCACATTTTTAATTTATTATTCTTAAAAAGAAAAAACCTCACTTGAAAATTAAAAAAAACTTGTATTCTTAAAAAGTTCAGTGGACATAAATAGTTCTAAATTTTTTTTTTTATTATTCTGATTCGAAGGATTCAAAATAGACTTCATAATAAATTCAAATGGGTTTTCAAAAATATTATAGGAGAAAAACTCATGTTAGTATGTTGGAACGCGTATAGATCCATTTTACTCTAAAAAGCGGTAATGTCGAATCCCCTTAATGAAAAAACCAAATGAGTGTGGACATTATTTTTACCTTATCGGTTTATCATAATAAAACAGAAAAACGCACCCATGGCGGCGTTGGTGTAGCTAAATTATCTATCCCGGACGCCGTGTTACTATTATGCTTATGGAAAGTAAGTATGTAACAGTGTAACACTATAATAATATGATAATAATTTTATAACTTATAACTTTTAAGTTATAAGATAAAAAATATTGTAGACATTTTTATGTAAAGTTTATGTATCATTGATTGTCTAATTTATCTAATTTTATATATATTTATATAGTTTATAGTTGATAATGTATATAATATATATTATTATATAATAATAAATATTGTAATAAGCTGACAATTGTGGATTATAGTTATATAATAATTTTTAATAAACTTAGATCTAGTATAAGTCCAGATAAATCATATTAATGGGTTTATTAGCCATAAATAGATTTATTTAAATATAATAAATACTTATAATAGTATAATACAGCTTAAAATATGTTTTACTTATTTGGCAATCTCAACGACAGTGTCGGTCGAAATGCCTATAAAGTATAAACCTATTGGCTAATGCTAATATTTAATTATATTGGTAAGTTAACGTAATCACAAGCATACCTTTATTTAATAATAATTACTATCGGCATTGCCAGTTTATACATTGTACGATTATATTATATTACACAAGTCTTATAAAATATTATTCTACTAAAAGTAGAGACATACGTTAGGATAATTATTTTAAAAAAAAGTACAATACTAATCACGAATTAACATAATGTTAGATAATTCCAAACCAAAAGCAGAGCAAAACAATAGTTCAAGAAATAATGCACAAACGCAAACGTGTACCGATTTAATACTTAATTATAATAAAAATAACTTAAAAATATTAGTATACCCTATACATGATAATATTATATTATACACATTATTATTACTTACTTATTATGTCGTTAACAGTTTATAATTATGGTACATATCGCGGGTGTTCTTGGATCACAATTATTCATCGAGTGATATATATTTTGTTCAAGATTTAAATTAAAATAATATTTAGTTTTTAACCTAAAGACGAAATTTAATTAAATTCAATACCTTTTGCATACAGTCCTGTGAAGAAGTTATGTGCATAGTTTTTTTTTTGTGCATAATTCTTTTCGTAGAAGAAATTGAGTTTGATTTAAATTTGTTTTACATATTACTGCTAGCGTAATATGGGTACTGAAATTCATGGATTATTCTCTTATAATCTTTATAACAAATATCTACTAATACTTTTATAACATATTATTATACTTTACATAATTAATGTTTTTTTTTTTTTTGTTAATTTCGATTCCTATGTTATAATATTATGCAACTCTACTTACAAAGACGATCTATTTTTCGATAATTGACAATACGACTCGTCAGTGACAATACATTAAGAATAGAGATAATAAAATATTCGTAATGCTTTAGATTGTATTCTTCAATTATAGTTTATATACATAAATGAGAATAACAGAGTATTTTATGCTTGACGAATAGGTTACGTACCTACGCGATTATTTAAAATATTTTTTTTTTATATTGTTTAGGTTTACTACGAGTTTGTGTCGTTTTATTGAATGCACAGTGTTCTAAAATCACAGCTTCGCACGATATCCATACCTCCCCCTAACGAGCACCCTCCAGACGAATACCCGCGATACGAAGTCACGGTGTGTTTTTTTTTTTCCATAAAATTACTAATCAACACTCGCTGAGCGATTTTGCAGGAGCCGTCGCGTCGATGCCAATGTTTTGGCGAGCACCGCAGCGTCTCCCCGCCCGCTCGTCGATGGCGCCGAGCAGCTTCTTCCTGGGGCCCAGTGGCAGACCGAGCGAGATCAGGTCTCGGTCGTCGAGCATGAACAGCGCGTCCAGGTCCACCCTCTGCTCGACGAACTTGTCCACGTACTCGCCGACGCCCGCCGACACCAGAAACTTGTGCACGGCCGACCACTTTGTACTGCGCCCGTTCAGCGCGATGTTTTCCTCTGAAAAGGACGAAACACATGATAAGTGCACTGTTCGACTGTCATCGCTTAAGGTTCGAATCGAGAAGCATCCGCACAGGAGACGTATTAGTCAGTTTCCGCCCGTTATACTATAATATAATATAGGTACCCATGACCGTCGCGGTGGGTTGGACGTAGACGATTCTCATATTTCCGCGAGGGATTATTATACAGAGTGTATCTCGTGTCGCGGTGCGCGGGGTTTTTTAACGATTACGGATCGATGACCCATAGTATTTCGTTAAAACAAAAAAAGACGTGTTTCTTTATTTTTAACAGGCAATTTTCTATTAAGTTTATTTTTCAAATGGTAACTACTATTTTTTTTTAATGGATTATGGTAAAACTTTTTTTTCTGAACATTTTGATGGTCAAATCATCAATTTTGGTTGGCTAGTTTATTAATCTCTAAAGTTTAGTAAAATATGCATTAATACTTTTAATTGAAATAATTGGCATAGGTTTAATTTACAAGAGCTAAATAATTTTTTCTTATAACTACCTTTTTATACACTTAAGTATCGGTAGATAATCTAATGACACTCTCAAAAAAAAACAAGCAAAATTGATAACAAACATAGTTCATTATTTTAATTTTAACATACAATCATCAAAATCAGTATTATCATTTTAATTTTTTACTTTAGGGAATAGTAATTAATTACTTAACAGTTAGTTTTCTTACAATATCATAAATTTGGATTCTTTATTAGGTGGCTAAAGTAATAATGGTAAATTGGTATATGGTATTCGATTGTTGACATTAATGTCTTAGCCCTTAGGTATGTATGGGGATTAATAAAAATGTATGTAATGAAAAAAGTGCAATATTTTGTGGTGCTCTTCTCGTAGTGGGATAAACTTGAAATTTGAACCAAATAGACAACCTATATCGGTAGGTATCGCATGCAAAGTATGAATTTAGGAGTTGAAATTTATAACCCTTCTTATTTTTTTAGTTTTGGACATTTACATTTTATTTCGTACTTTTCCTATCATAATTTTCTTACAATAGCATTAATTTGGATTCTTTATTAGGTGGCTATAAGGACTAAAGTAATACCTAATGGTATTTGATTCTTGATATAATAATAATAGAAATCCGAAATTACTAATTAACTCAGATTAAAAGTATGCCTAAGTTATGTATAAATCTATATTGAGATTGACTACCTATTTATCAAAATATCTTGCAAATAGGTTTTTTTAAATCACGATTATTAAATAATTCTTAAAGAATTTCTTTAATGACTATTTGGAAATTGATACATTTTTTAAATTCATAAACTTTTATAGGAACTACACAATTATTTGTATTTCAAAAGTATTCTACTTTGGAATGATAATATACAATTACAACTACCAGCCATGGTTTAAAAAAAATCAAAACCGTTATGATAAAAACTCTATATTTTAAAATCCAAAAATACTTTTCATATGTATTTATATATAAATAGTTTATAACGCAAATTTAAAATGTTTAAATTACTTTAAAATATTAATACATATAGGTACCTAACTCTATAGCCACCTATAGACATTTGAAATATTCGAAATATATTAATTTTTTTCTATAAATATCGATAAAATTATCATTCAGCTAAAAATATTGAACATTCAATACAAGGATCTCCATAAATATGGAATCTAGAAAATATGTAAACAACTTTTTATCATGTACTAGTGACATAATATACTGAATGATGATAGGAACATTAGACTTCTACTGTACAGAGGAGCGATTACCTAATTCCCCCCACCCATTTTTATAAAGTTTAACATAAAAGTATACTCGGACTTAAATTTTAGTACTTTGTAGTTTGTATTTTTAAATAAATCACAAAATAATGCAAAATAAATTCTATTAAAAAATAAGCATTACGGACTTCATTATTCACGTGATCTGTCGTGATGTTTTATATTTTATAAATATTATTTTACCTCGGGTATCATAGACACGTCGTTGTATGTTATGTTTCCAATTTAGAAAGGTAACTAGTTACAAATTATTATACACCGTGTGGCGTTTGTAGAGGTTTTGGCTGAGTGAATTGCAATTAGATAGTCCACTCATTAATATCGTATGGTATTATGTTTATATATTGTTTTCTGCGTATATAATATTGTATTATACAATATTACAATAACGCTGCGGGGCCTATATGTGTATTCGCTTTTACATATTATTATGATGATATATACGTCTAAATGCCCAAAGTCCGTACACAACGGTGTAATTAAATCGTGACAGCGTGCGTGGGATTCGATCGGGATTATCGTTGGAATTTATTGAAAAAAAAAAAACAAACAATTTCGTCGAATATCAATCATACCGCTGTATACGATTCGGACATCTCTGCCGTGGTTTTTGTAAACGAATCTTATACTGTGTAACGTAATTATTTTTTATTTTTTCGACACGTGACCCGCACCGTATAATTATATGTTTTATGTGTATTTTATCCTCGTAACGATAGTTATTATTATTCACGGTGATATATATAAGCGACGATGGACGTATTGGATTTAGTGTTACCGTCGCTGTTTTGAAATTCGTCCCAGGACATTGTGCTGCTCGGCTGGTTCCGCTTCACTAGACTTCCAGCGCTGCCGATACTGCACGCCTCGTCTTCAATAGTCGCCCTAGACACGTCTGGTACTGGAATTGTGGTCACGCTGAAAATGTATTGGTTATCTATTAGTAAGTATTATTATAGGTATGACATGCTATAACAGTATGTACATAGTACGTAGGAGATATAGGATGTTAAAATCAACTACAAATTGAAATTTTGAACAGTACTAAAGACTCTAAAGTTTGATTAGAATTGTTTCCATATTAATATTTTAGAACTTATCTAAACATCCAAAGTCCAAGAGTTGAGTTCAAAATTTGAACCACCTGTCCACCTATTTAAAATTCATTAAAATCCCCCCAAAAAATGTTAAATGTCCTTTCATCAAAAGATTCATCACATATATAGGAAGGGTGGCCAAATGATTGATGTTGGACGATTTCTAAGTCGATCCCCCTTGTAAGAATTTACTAATTATTGTCATAAATTTGTCATTTAGTAGATACAGTTATATTAAATACATATTTTGGATTAACATTTTCGTGTGAAATGACATTTTTCCACATGAAAGTTATAAAATCTGAATAGGTACTGAGCTATACTCTCTGATGATCATTTAGAGCAGCTTCTTTGTTTAGCAGTTAGCGACTATTACCAAGATTATAATTAACTGACCATGATATGCAACGACACGCTTCTACATCAACAGTATAATGTTAGTACATTTTAAAATTATTTAGAAATTTAATGTGAAAAACTCATTTTAGATAACTTTACACTTTTATTTTATTATTTATATAAGTATGTTTATTATTAATATAAAATATATTTTTTTTCATTAATCTGATCCTAAAAGAAAAAAATATATTCTCAGTAGATCTTCATCAAAAAGAGTTTGGCCATCCCTGACATATATAGTGGTGTACTGGTGTCTGTCTATGTTGTAAGTTTCATAAATATTGGCTCCAACAATTATTGTTGATATGTGTTTAATAATAATAATAATATTTTTATTTTTAATATTTTCAGACATTTTTTGATAAGTGTTAAAATTTCAAATCAATAGACCATTATTTTTGAAGTTACGATCAAATAATCAAAATAAATTTAATAATTCAGTAATTTACTGTTTTTAGTCCAATTTCAACAGTCAAGCATATTTTTTTAGAAAACCGCTCTAAATAAATAAAATAGTTGATTTGACAGTTTTTCCCAATTTTTTAAAATTATTTTAAATAGGTACCAAGCTGAAGAGATTTTGAATTTAATAGAGGTATTATTTAATTTTTGGACCAAAATATCTACCTGAATACGTGGTGGTAGGTAGTTACATAGAATAAAAAATAAATATCATTGTAAATCAGTTCACTCAGAACAATAATTTAATGTAATTTTAATTTAGACATGTAAAATAGGTAAGTACCTACATTATTATTTTTATTTTTGGGGGGTTTTGGCCTTGAATACATTATGTAGGGGGGAGCATGCCAGCTTATCCCTCCCAGATCTCTGCTTATGAGTATTTATACAATATCATATTATTAATACCATCGACGGAACTAAATAAAGATGGTCAATAAAAATGAAAATGACATTATAGGAACCTACCTATGTCCTTTGCGGCTATAGTCGCTATATACACTCTTACCCCAAAAATATTAAATTTGTTGCATCATTTTAATGTTGTGTTGTTTGTATATATATTATTATATTTCCGATATTCCTAAACCATCAATATTCTGATTTAGGATGACAGGGTGTGGAGGTTCATCGTATAATTTATGTATTTATTTTGTTTCTATAGTATTTTGATCTTAAATATTATAATTACAATTTACATTATTGCTGAATTAAATTCAAAATAGATACTCCGTATCTATAGATATACTGAAATGCCACTCTTACGGAAGAGGGGAGGATTGGATCCGTATCCTCTGTGGTTGCGCCACTGATCACAAGTACAAGTATGATTTTGGTTTTTACGAAAACCGGTTTTAAAGTTCAACAACTATTATAATATTATATATTATTATATTTATATTATTTATATTATACAATGTATGTATATAGTACATTACGTCATTGCGGCAAGCAATCGAAAATCAATGACCATAATATACGATAATTGGTGTAATTGGTCATGTAGTCGTGATAAAGTCTAAAACACTCAAATTTTTCAATCGTTTCACATAAGGTACTCGAGTCAACGAATAATTTATGGTAATGAACAAATTAAACCGTTAACGGCGGTATGTATTATGAAATTTAATATGACGCTCGATTGGTTTTGCAGACTCTGTTTTGTACATTTTTTTCCTCGAAAAAAATTATATTAAATCGTAAAAAGTCCTAAAGTGACATGGTACACGCATCGTTTGATTAAAATTACTCTCTGAAACGGTATATTCTTTTCTTTTTCCTTTTCGTATCGCAAATACGCCACACGAAAATTACACGGTTATTATGTTTTATCGGTAATGTGTCATAGTAGGTATAATATTGATACGAGTTACCTATTACACGTTTACAACATTATACTGTTTATGTTATAATATATTTTGGTATGACTACGTTTCGATGTGTGTGAACAAATTACTTTTGCCTGAACGCGACGCTTCCGAAGCCCGGTCGATCGAACATGCTACCTTGATCGTGCCAATGTACTTTATCGTCGTTCTGTAGATCCATGATGAAGTTCGGTTGCGAAATTGTGCGGTGCAACTCGAACACATCCGAAATCCTGCCTCTTTTCCCTGGAAATCGTTAAATATCATTGTTATTATCATTATCATTAAACGTTAAACGTATCACGGGATACGGTAATTATTATTTTATAGTTATATTATTCGAGGCGAACGGAGGAGAATCTCAAGTTTCGATACATCCAGAAATGTGTGTTGTACAGTGTTGACACAGTTAAACAATATAAATTATAATAATAATAACAAAATATACTGTGTTGACCTAAAATCTATTTGCTCTATAGTTGAAGACTATTGGAAATTCTTCTGTAGGCTCATCACTTAGACACGCTCATTTATCGTTTTCTATTGTCGTTTTGTAATAGACCGGAGAATCAAAAATATTTTCAGTTGTTACGGGATGTCAAGATGACGACCTATTGTACAATATTGTATTTGTCTATGTATTCAGTCGACAATTTTTCCTTTTATATAGAAGAACTCTTTTCATAATACACTATAACAGCAGTTAGTTTGAACGGCCAAGTTTTGCATAATATTTCCCAGTTAGAATGTTTATAAAACAACGGTGGAAACTGAATTAATGTAAAAAAGAAATGACTATATTTATTTTTCAAAAGGCATTGACTATTTCTGAGTAAATTGTAAACTGTATTCTTGTTTTGCCGATCGTCGTTTTTGTAATTATTTATCATTTCTACTGAACACTAATTCCTTACTCTAAATTTAGAAAATCACAAATAAATAAAAAATATGATTTTTTTATATTCCATTATAAAAATATTTAAGTATAGCCTAATGTAGGTAGAAATATGGAATTATATTTAATTTTTAAAAAATATTGAAACAGTTAAAATCTATACAAAAAAAAATATTCATGGTCCATTATAAATTCAATAACACTGCGTTTTGTTTTCATTTTCATTTGATAATATTATTATAAACTAAAAATATAATAACAGAAGAAATTGTTCCGAAAGTATAATTGACTGAGACTGATATTGTTTAATATAATATATTAAAATACACTTACTACAATACTTATTGAAAAAAGTCAAATAAATTATAAACTATAAAACCACGCATATTGTGACTTTGTTTTTCACCCAGTTATTTACGCATTAGGTACTACAAAACTGGAAATTATTATTATATATATTATTCCCTTCACAAACGCGTTATGTACAATAAGCGGCACAACGCTCAATACGATTTTATAATAATATACTTTATCACAAAATAATAATATGTCGACTGTACGCAATGTGGAACTCCACTGCGTACCTATACGAAAACGATCGCAATCGTGTTTATAAAATCTTTTTGTGATGCGTTTTGATTGTGAATTATATTATGGTTTATATTATTATTATATGTTATCACGTAGATATTGTATTGTATTTACCTCCGTTCTCGTTCTCGTACGAATTGACATAAATAATTTGCGAATCTCCATTGGACGTTATGGTTCGTACACTCGTGCTATCCTCGACCTGTGGATCGTTTACGTAACGATAACAATAATAAATAATAAAATAACAGTATATGTTTGCGCAACGACGGCAATGGAATTTTTGGTAGGATATTGTCTACTGTCGTACCTACTATAAAATATATATATTCATTTTTTGATTTGAGTATTTTTATCATAATAATAACAGTATAGGTACGAAGTACGTAGATGGTATATTATGTGGATTAAACCTATACTGTCTGGCATTACAACGTTAGAATTTTACGACTTTTTATCTTACAGATTTAAGAATTTATAAAATTAATGGTAAAAAGAATTCTATTATTTCAAGGAAATATTTGGGTATAGGTAGGCGTATACACCTACTGAGAAATTCGAACATTGGAGTATATAGTGTCATACTGTCATCCGGTAAACGCGCTTCTCTTAAATTAATTAGATAAGAATGCAGCATAACAAAATATAATAATATACTCGCCTCTTTTATCGATTTGTACGACGATTTATTGGTTTTGTTGTGGGCGTCCACCGCTGCCGCCTTCAGTTTCCTGTCCAATATCTTCTTCACACCGCCCGAACTAACAAACGGTTTCTTCACGGTACCGGATCCGACGATCTCTGTAAACGACTTACAGGACAGGTCCGATGACGATTTGCGCAAACTGCCAAAATTAATTTAATCTCATTAGTCATTTTACATAACGTTTTATAGGTACTGAGAACACGTTGCACGGTGAGAGGTTCCGTTCCAAAACCGAGTAGGTAAAAAAAAAAGCGACTGTTATAAAAGTGTGTTGTTATTTGTGAACAATTAACAGTACTATTTTTATGTACACACTAATTCGGCGAATATTCAAAATGTGTGTTTGCGTATGGAAATTGATAGATAATCGAATTATTTTATATTGTATATTTAAATATTGTATAATGCTTACGACAAAGGAATTGATCGAACAGTAGGTATGGCAGTTTCCGAATCTGCTTTGTTACCACCCAAGTATTCTTTTTCTACCCTTCTAATTTGCTTTTTCTCTTTTTCCCTCTCTTTTTTCGTCCGATCTTCGTACTTCTTTTGATTGCGTTCTGCGTCTTTCTGAGCCTTTTCTTTCTTAGATTCAACTTTTTTCCTAAAAAAAAAACCTTATAGTTGTAAAACCAATAACCGCTGTCATTTGTATCCATTTCTATGTGTAAAGTTGTTTTACTTGTTCTGCATTATTTGAGATGCGGCCGCTTTATCCAAGTATTGGAGTACTTGCGATTTACCATGTATGGCTGCTAATTGCATTGCCGTGAGAAAGTCCAAGTCTAAAGCCCACAAGTTGACATCGAAACCGACAAGAAACATCACACAACTCAAATGTCCTTTAGATGCGGCCAGATGTAATGCATTTTGTCCAAGATGGTAATTGCATTTTTCAGGATCACCACTAAAACATTGGATGTGATTCGTTTAAAAACAGTGACACGATTCATATTTTAAAATTTTAATACAAGATTATATTTAATCATACAGCGAGCTCGGTTAGCCGTGACCAAGTGCTGAGGGTCGGTTTGCGTGGTGGGCTAAAATTAATTGGTACTATTTAACTAAATGTTGAATAAGATTTGAAACGCAATTGCTAGAGATATTTTTAGATCAATAGAATTTTTAATGTCTTTGTTTATATGGCCCGTATATATATATATATATGTAGGTGCCTAAAGAGAATATTATTTTTTTTCCGTTTATACTGTTTGTTATAATTTCCCGCTTATTCGGTTCTTTTAAGTTTTTATGAAAAGGAATTATATAATATTGCAATAGTTACACGACAGGATGTCGCCTACAAAGATCCAAAGTATCGTTAAACGTTAGTTTTTACAAATGACTAGTATTTTTATTTGTTTATATTTTTTTTTGTCTTATTACGTTGTCACTATTGTTTTTATCTCACTGAAACCGAACCTATGGTATCTATATACAATATACCATCATAATATATAAGACCGATTAGTCTTGGGATCCAAATGTTACGCTTTCCCACCGATCGTTATACAATCGATCGATTTCCTTGATTAACCGTTTTTAAAAATTAAAAAATAACAACATGAACATCCTCATGTCATCCTTACCCTCTGCCGACGAGTACCCTCAACGCTTCCAGGTGCCCTTTGAAAGCCGCCCAAAGCGTCGGCGTCATCCCGTCATCATCTTTGGCGTTGCAATCTCTTTTGGTTGCCTCTTTCAGTAGGTTTACGAAACCGTCTTGAGCCGCCCTATAAACAAACCGACAAACATCAAAAAAACACATTATATAACGTAATACAATGTTAATATATATTATTATGAATTTTCATTTATAAACGTTAAACATGATATATCGGATTTAATAGTATCAAATATGTAAACGATGGCGCAACAATAAACGTTTACCGATATATACGTCAGAACCGCCGATTTTTGACCCGGTGAAAGGAAAGACAATCGGTGGCCGCAAAGTAAGGCGTCGGTGGCAATGGCGTGGCGTGCCCCTAATCTTAGAGCTATTAGAAAGCAGTTGTTTTGTAATGTGACTTGGGCACATCTTGCACCGGAATGTCTATTGTTGATTTAGGTTCGTGTTCAATCGAGGAGTTTTGTACACAAATCTTTCCTCCGGACGTTTATTCGGATTTTCGTGCTTTCAAATATAATGTGCGCGGGTAACATCAAATAGGTATCAATGAGATATTTCCAACACGTCAAAATGCAGTTTCACTAAATCGTAATATAATGTCCATATGATATATAATATAATATACACGACGAAGATAAAAAATATCGTGTCACTGCTGTTTTAACGGACCGTCGCAGAACATAATAATAAACAGTAATTATATAGATAGGGCTGTGAATTTGAAGAAAAAATGAAAACATTTTTGTAGGAAATAGTTGGACGGTTTTTATGTAAAAGGGTTGTCAATTTTCGTTGGTTATCAGTAGACGCAAATAACCTTAAAATTATTTTATCAGTAAATTTAATTTATGTTTTATTTCTAATTGTATACTTTATTTGGTGTATAAATAAGTATAGAACTTGTAAACTGTTATAATATGCAAGTAATACTATAATATATTATAGTTTTTTTTTTATTTTTATTTTATTGAAAAATTTTATATGGCCATTAGCTGTTGTAGGAGATTATGAACTGTGGTTGGTAAGGTTGGTACGGTAAGGTTTTGTTACGGTTGTTAAGGTACAACACGTGTATCTGTGATTTTTACTACTACGAACCCGGGTGGTCACCCATCCGGGAACAGGGGCCGTTACTGGTAGCAGCCAATGCACCACACCAAGCCAAACATTAGTTTAATACAGCGTTTCTCAACCTTTTTAACGTCTCGAGTCACGACCCCCCAAAATAGATGAAAAATAAAATCAGTCACCTCACGACCCTCTTCCTCATGATAAAAAAAAACTGTTTGAATATAAACAAATCTCAAATATCACATTAATTTATATTTTTTACATAATTATTCATAGTTTATAGTGTATTTCGTCCCCATCATGTCCAAAAACATGATTTTCGAAAATAGGCTTTTGTAATTTTTTCCAACTTTAAATGTATGCTAAATGTAACCAAATGTTGTGTTTGCTTGTTTTAATTGTTTTTCTTTTAAGGAAAGTACCTATAGTTATTTATGAATGGTTGTAAATAATATGACATTGCGAAAGAATTACTTATCATAGTTAAAACACAAATTATTAAGTTGGACTTAGAGACTTTTAACATAGTTAACATTTATTCACTGTGTTTACTGTTTTGTATGTATGCAATTGTTGACATGGCACAGCCTAAATATATCAAAATCACTTCAATTCCATACAATTAGTACGCTATTATAAAAATTTTATTTTTAATGTAAATATAAAAGGTTGTTTTTCTACATAGGAGTTTATTTGTTTCTGAACGATGCGACCACCAGGTTGAGTAAATAAAATTAATAAATGACTTGTGCCCTTTTGCATAACATATTATTAGGTACTGTGATAACAAATCATCGTGCGACCACTACCGGTCCACCCTTCGATAGGGAGTAAAATTGCACACACAATTAACTAGTGAAAAAAATTTCAAAATATGCCTTCAATATTGTGCCTTTTCTCATAAAACCCTTCCATGTTTTCCTATGAGGCAATAAATAATTGTAGAACTTTGAATTGAAATGTTTCACATTTTGGATTTTAAAGTTTAGGTTGGCCTTTTTATGTATTTTTTTGAATCCAATATTACTATATTTTTTAACAGTATTCATCAAACTTTTTTTTATTCATATTTTATGAATTATTTTTTGTTTTACACATTATATGCTGTATGACTTTGTGTCTCTTTAATAGTTTATAATTACTTGATTAAATAAATTAAATATATGCAGATTTATTTATAAACACTATTATGATTATTACTTTTCAATAAGGCTTGATACTTTTTATTTTTAAAATATAATATACCGCATTAGGTAATTGACATTTTAAGTGCATTAATTGATAGTAGTTTAGCGATTTCACTAATTAACATTTTTCATGAATCAAAAGATCAAATTTCAAATTTGACACCGTGTGATATATTGATATTTGACTGTTTCAAAATCAGTAGTTAGTATATAATATACAATTTATAACATAATTTTTTTTTCTTTTTAAATACTGTCAATAATTTTTCTAGCTACATAGTAAATCCCGATTTCTAACATAGATATAATTATAAGTAGGTATCTATATATTTTGTACATTATGCGTATAATGATCAGTAGTATTTAATGTAATAAAAAGTAGAAATATTTATTTTTTTTAATTTAAATGATAAAAATTAATTTTATCAAAAATTCTTGATGCTTGGATATTATTCCAAAATAAATAGTATTACACAAAGAGAATTACAAACAAATGTAACGATGTCTTTTTTTTTTGTTTGGTTGTTAATTTCTTGAAAAAGTGCCATTTTTATGATTTTTTCCTTGACTTGCGTAGTGTTAATCGTTCTCATTTCATAAAATAGTCAAATTGTTCGCTTCAAGTTACGATACATATAATATATTACTATATATGTATTCAATATAGCCATATAGGTAAAGGCAACTAGGCAAGTAAAAACGGTATCTATTGATTTCATTTGTCAAGTTAAATAACGCGTACCTATTGGCTATTATATACGAAAGTACCTACACTAAACACAGTTCGCTGCAGTATTACCTCCATTACGTTTTCCACTTCAATAAATAGATTTTCGTAGGAATAATTCGAAAAATATTGAATCACAGCATATAGAGTTCTCGTGACGATAAAAATCATCATAATACTTTGTCGTGACGCTATTAATTTTTTTTCGCATTAGATTCGATCTCGTTTCTAAAATACTTAATAACTATATATATTATAATAAATAACTATCACTATATATAGTACATACACTCACGAGTAGTTCTACTTCAAGTCCATATATTGTATTTTGTATTTTAGCTATATGTATATATGCACGTGGCTGCGGTGATGATGTGCCGGGAATTGTATGAAATCACTGAGTCGAGCAGGGCATTGCACCGCCGCATAGGTAGATAATATTATACGCATATAAAATATATTGCGGGAGTATTGTGACGTTATTATAATATTAATTTTATATTGGGCAGAGGATCCTCTTGAAGGCTGTCCGATCGCGTATAATATGTAAACGCGTTTACGAAAATTAACTGATAAACATATTATACTTATTCCAAATACTATTGTATATTATTTCAAACATAATTTGTTAACAAACAATTAAGATATTATGTACCCATAAAAGACACAAAGAAGACCTTGCACGTTTTTAATGTAATGAATTATCTGCCGTTTGACCTTTGAAATGAAATTACATTGGATGTAACTGTATGATTATATTATCAATTAATTATACGCTCGCGTACTCTGCAATTATTATTATCACGATGCGTAAAATATTAGAAGCTGATTTGTTAGGTAGGTTACCCGATGATTATATCGTCCGATCGTCGACGACGAAAAATTTAATATAATATATTATGTACAACAAAGTTGGGAAGTCCAAATAGTTTATTAAATTGTAAGTAAATGCGGTAAGTCAAATAAGATTTAGAAGTTTTCATAGACGTAAAGGAAATAATAAATTATGATGTGAATTTGTGAAAATGTTTGTTATTAAAGAAAGTGTCTAGGTAGTAGTTAAAAATAATAATGCACAGATACGCCATATTTATAATAATATTGGTAATTTAATATGAATATATTACCTACCTACTCGAAATATTCAAATTATCGAAACAGTTTCTAATATGTGCTCTAATACCCAGCAACATAAAAATCCTAGATTCGAATTTGATAAAGGAAATAATCAAAATAAATTGTTGTTGTTATGATTAAAAATTTAATAAAAACGTTATATTAAAGTTAATATTTGAAAAAAAAATATTTGGTGATAAACTGATAACTGTCAACTGACAAGAAAAATAATTTAAGTATTATATGAAAGTATATATGTGTTATGTCAGTATCTCGTAAGTTGCTAGGCGCCCCTTGCACCAAACCCATTGAACACAGACATAACAAAATATAAGCACTTCATTATAAAATCAATATATTTAGGTAGGCTCAAAATATAAAACAAAGTGAATTTAGATAGAGTTTCTTTAAATGAAACATTAGGTACGCGCATATAATTTCACGATTATAAAACCGTATAGCAAATACTAAATGGTATTTAATAATGTTGGTAATTAATTAAGAACGCTGAACGTCAAATGAAAAGACTACTAAACTACTTCTATATAGATTATGGGTAGCGAAATCTTTAAATTTCTATTTAATTTACATAGATAATTTGTTATGGATACAAATTGTTGAGTATCTAGTTAGAGAAGAAATCAAGTCAACTTAATTTAATGAGAAACACGATGTTAGTTGTGGTTTTAGTGGTTAATTTATCTACCTTGACCATGTACCTGTCCGCTGTATAAATACCATGTAACTGTGTAACTATATACCCATATAGGTGCCATCTTAAACGCAATCGTAGCCCATGCAAATTTATATTAAATGGAAAAGTGAGACAATTGTGCTCGGGGAAAGTGTAAAACAATAATTAAAATCTGGAAAACTTAACGAGTTTAATATAATATAATACCAGCATTATACGCATAGGTAGGACTGTTCATTAAAAATAATCGCATATAGCGTGGAAATGTATATACATTTTGTACGCTCTCCGGTCGTGTTAGTTAGAAATATTGAAATTTCACAATAGAAATTATATTTTTAATTTTACTTAAACTCTATTTTATTTGTTATTTACTTGTAATTTTGATATGCTTGATGATAAATTATATTTTAAGAATAGTGATCATTACTTAATTTATGAGTTTTATATAAGCAGTATTATTTATTTAGTTATTAAGAGGATGTCAGCTCACTGTTTGTTTTCTCTCTCTGGCTGAGTCTGGCCCATATACGTAGAACCAACATAAATTCGAGTAAAATTACACATATAAAAACGATAGGGAATAATATATTTGAGGGAATGACATATGGATTTGTCTAAATATTGTCTCAAAAACAATTTAAACATCATTTAAATTTATACATTTTTTTTTTTTTTTTGAAAGTCGAATACAAAGTCAAATAATTATAAAATATAAAACCGATATATCATACCCTCAAAAATATTATCGTCTATATTTTTAGTAATAGGCGATTTCACTCTAAGATTACTCAAAAATCATAAACAACGATTTTAGGCGTAAGTGTTTTATCTATCTGGCGAGTGGGTCTGAGAGAGAAAACAAATATTGCGCTGACAATGGCTGACATCCTATTAAGGCATCCGGTGCCAGTGTAATTTTGTCCTCAATAATACGCTCTACAGGAATAATGATCCTGTTCTGTAGAATCAACCAAATTTGATAATTTTTTTTCTAACCAATATCGGTTAATATCTATAAAGGCCGCGTTGAACTCTGTCTTTAAATATTTTAATCCCAACTTTTATAATATGTCTTCAAAAATAATACAATTTTAAACTTTTTTTTACAAATTATATTATACAATTTTTTTTAAATAAAATAAAAAAAGGAGTTCAATTCAGCCTGTAGTAAGTCTTCTACTTTCAGATAAAAAAAAGTTGTCAAAATATGACAATTCTACAAGGCCTGAGAATTATTCCTGTGAAGTAATTTTTATCTATATAATACACCGTGTCAACTGCCCCCCCCCTAAGTAGGTATTGGACTGTAGATTAGTGGAAAAGTATTATAATTAAGGCAGCAGTTAAAATATAAAATATAATTTTCAAATTTTATAGAACTGCAGAAAATTTGATAAACCGGCACCGGGCCACTATTAATGTTATTATATTTTAATATTATATTCTCATTTCTCATGTTCATCAATCAAATATCATTTATATTGGCAATATTATAGTAATAATATGAATATGTGCCTAAGAGCAAGTACAGTGTACATGCAATATCTAAATGCTCGGCACAATTTGGTCATAATATTATACAAATCGAAATCCAACTTTAAATACGAAATGTACTAATTGTTACCCACGACTTATAATTATACAATAAACCAAGTCCTTGGGTGCATTTAAAGACTTGACGGACGTCCCACCTCAAACTCGTTGATTTTTACTGTGTTTAGAAATGAACTAGATGAGGACACATTAATACAGGCATACGGCATGACTATTCACTATTTCACTCTCGTCGAAAACGGCCGCTTACATTTAATTCATTCATTTCATAAACGAATAAAATACGCAACAATTTTATTTTTATTTTTTTGTTCATTTTGCATATTATCTATATATATAAAAATGAATGTATGTCTGTGTGTCTGTGTGTCCATGTTACCATGGTTACCAAGGTTGCCATGGTTACTAAGGTTACCAAGATTTCATATCAATCTATCTATATATATAAAAATGAATGTATGTCAGTGTGTGTGTCTGTGTGTCCATGTTACCATGGTTACCAAGGTTGCCATGGTTACTAAGGTTACTAAGGTTTCATGGTTACCAATGTTACCATGGTTACCAAGGTTGCCATGGTTACTAAGGTTACTAAGGTTTCATGGTTACCAATGTTACCATGGTTACCAAAGGTACCATGGTTACCATGAGTGTTGTAGCTATTATAATCATAATTATAGGTCTTTAATGGACAACGAAGTGCATGGGATCAGATATTTTATATATATAGTCCGTGTGTGTCCACATTACCATGGCAACCTTTTATATTGTTTTATGTAAAACATATTATTCATATAGAGTTGTCAATTTTAATGGGCAACGTAGTGCTCGGGATCAAATATTTTTATACATATAGACATGTTGGATCTCTGGGCAGAAGATAGGCTAATTTAAAAGGGGAGAGGACCAACACCGGGACGTGCTCAAACAGGGATTTTGAGATTTTTGTTTATATATGGTAACCGCGGGTTTCAAAGCTATAATTATAATAATAATTGGTTTAAAATTGCTGTTATGGTAACCGTTATATTATAAAATAAAACATTTTATTCATATAGAGTTGGTATTTTTAATGGGCAACGAAGTGCACGGGATCAGCTAGTAATATAATATAATATCAAACATACGAGCTTGAATTAAAAAAAATCATTCACCAAACGAATTACAATTACAAGTAAATCGTAAGTATTCGTCATCAGTCATCTGGAGCAAATAATAATACATACCTAATATATAAAACGTTTTTGATTTCTTTTTTTGATTCCATTCCCGCGGTACCCTCAAATTCAAACGTATGATGTTCTAATATATTATTATTGTCTCTTCGCATACAATGGAACTCGGTCACTAGAAATTTGTCGGAAAAAATCAAGACGCTGAGGTATTGATTTATTTTCATTTCATTCTAATCATGTTACTGAACAATGTATAATATGCAGTACGCGCACCAGGTTACAACGAAGAGAGCTCTAAAAGTACCTCGTACAATGTATAATTATATACCATCGCATATTCATTTATTTTTATTGATTCATAATATTATGTGGTAGGTATATACGCCTTGTTAAGAATATCGCTGTACCTACCTACCTGTATGTCGAATTATACACTCATAATACCGTATAGGTATCGCGAGCATACAGAGAAAGCATTCGCGCCTACGTTTATAATAAGAGCGGGTTGAATTGAAAACATTCAAAACCTTTAATTTACATTTAACTACCTGAGAATCAATGAACTCTAAGGTTCCATAATATATGTACATATAGTTGTTGATAAAATTAACAATTAGATTATCTGATTATCATTATAGTCATTACTCACACAGTTATGTTATATATAATATGTTAGCTATAATATTGCCGTCACTGAGTCCGCGGCTCTTTTAGTATAATTCAAAGATGACGAGAGTCCCGAATTGTATATTTTTACTAAATATTTGAAACTATGTGAATTTAACAGGATTTTTTTTTAATATCGTTTTGCTATTTGAAATACATTAAGTACATTGTACAGCTATATATATATATTTTAAAATATACACATGCCTAATGATTGGTCGGTTTTTTTGGATCTTTTTGAATTTCCAACAAAATATACACATAAATACATAATCAATAAATTCCAAACCAAAAGTTGGTCTGTCCAAGTCAAATACCTTAAAATTTGCTTTAAAAAGTATAATTCATTGGGTACAATAAAAACATAATGTCGTGACCAGCTGGTATACTTGGTAGGTATCTAAAATGTCTCTAATGTGTGCGATAAATAATAATACAGTTCAAATGCAATTACCTAATAGCAGCCGATTTTACAATATAGGTAATTATTCTTAGCATGTATAATAATAACATTAAAAATCAAACGATCCACTCCCACAGAATCACACTTACGTTTTTTATCAAATCATATTGCGTTCTGCTCACGATTTATAAAGACCCGCGGGTCATGTATTTAGCTACGGACAATATAATACCAAGTATAGTTATGTACTTACTTATGGAATCTCGTGCTCATGATTCGTAATGCAGTTCACCTCGTCCGGATTCACTCTGATCGTCTGTAATGATAATAATAATAATACATAATAATATATGTAATAATAATTGTGCAGACATATTGTGTTATCTAATATCTACATGTTGTTCTAAACGAGTGTTTAATGTTTATACATATATATATATATATCGTATTAACAACAGATAGCTCGGCACTTATTGAAGTTTCAATTTATATCTAATAATATGGGAACCACGTGTGTTGATTTGCGACCATCGCACATTTAATACGAAATACATTCGGGCAGGTACATAAATATTAAATATTTAATAATTATATAGGTAATTGGAAGTCGGAGTTTAAGATGTATATCGCTGGACAATTTTCAGGTTTAAGATGCAAATGCTGACTGTATCCATGTCCTAACGAACACGCGATGCCGAAATCGGGGAGATGATTTTGCCAAGGTTTACAACCAGTGCCGGAATGGCGCTAGAGGGTTGCGAGGCAATGTTTAGAAGCAAATAACTTGTATTGTATATATGTTATTTAAAATATGGGAACGCTGTTTCACAGATAAAGTTCTTCTTTAAATGCTGTGAAAATTTGGTAGTTCTACAACAAATATGGTGCTAGAAAAGTTGTCCCTCGCAAAAGAGTTTTTGCTATGTTGTACATTTGTAAGACGGAGACAACACATGCGGGTGTGGCGTCCTCTTAAGGATACGCCATCTATTCATATATATATCAAGTATAAATACAAATATTTGTTATAATAAATCGTTAAAAAATCGCAAGGCCCTTTACGTTCGCTCGTTCGTACTAAGCGCGAGGTCCTTTACGGTCGCATCCCAAGAGCACCACTGCTAACAACCCCCCTTCCCCCCATTTCCTATTTTTTTCAAATTTAAAAAACAATATGCTAATATTATTGTTATACTAATTGCGGTATCTAACAATCGACTTTTTATAGAAATCCATCTACCAGAAATAAAATCTTGCGATATTCCTCTGCAACCTACATATTTGTGTATTTATATTTATACGCTGTATACAACACTAGGTATTACAACTGCATAATATTATGTATAACTGTATAAGTACCACAACCACGTGTCAAACCGTGTCTGCGAGCCTTCGTTACGCTTGTGCATTAATATTAGTGCATTACCAATGTAACATAATACTATTTTATACCTACCGATGGTTTATAATATAAATATTAATATTATACTATAAAGTTGACACAATATTGCCGCTTTCATATGAGTATAGGTATATTAAAATTATACATAGTCCCCAATAATATATTACAATAATATGTTTTTATTTGTACCGTGGTGACATTGCTATTATGATACGATGCAAACGATTTAAATAAGTATTTCTTTTCAACAGAAATTGTATTATATTTTTGTAAACATTCGAACTCAAAAGAACGCTCGATTTAGTCTATTTTTTCTGCCTGTCTAATTAATTGTAATAAATCGTCGTGATATATTATAATATTCACATTCAAAAATATTATTCCAAGGGATTTTCAACCCTCTCTTACCCTCACTTGTATTTCTATATGTTCTTACATTTTTATTTTTTTGAATTATAGTATATTACTTTTACATAAAATAATTTAATCCAGTTTTATACCAAAATGAAGGTAATAGAGATTTTTTTTAAACGGTTGTCATTATCCTTGTTATACTATTCGTTATATTTGTATTTTTAATAACCATTCATAATCTATACATGTCAATATGTCATAAAGTATACTAACGAGTAGTATAATTATTGGTCAACAATTATTATACCATTATTCATTATTTGTATTCGCCTCATTCAATATGATAAATTGTGCATATTATAACTAATATAACTAATAATCTAGAATAAAAAAAAAGTACGTGTACACTGTTTTATATACACAAATACACAATACATTTAGTAGGTACCTATAATACATATATAAATAATAATATTATAATATGTCTTGTCCGACAAAAGAGCAACCAGCGTGTTAATTCCCAAACGGTCGATGTTTCTTTCAGTCAAACTACGTTTAAAAATCAAATTTAACAATAATAAGTATAATACTTAATATAATTTATACTGTATAAATAATAATAAAAGAAAATAAATTAGAATATAATATTATGTGTGTAAATTCAACACGTGTAAAATAATCGTCGCACCAAATCAAAAAATAAAAGTAGTACCATTATAGCTATAACGCCGTCGTCGTTGTTATTCGTTTTAGAAATATATTATGAATATTTGAGTCGGAACTAATTTTTCAAGATAGATTTTCATTCACTCGACATCACGTATAACACATGGTATAGACTATTTACAGAATATACTCTAAACGGCCAATTAAAAATAAAAAAAAATATATGTATTAAACACACGTCAGAAATAAGTGCACTCGAAATAGATTTTTTTCTTTTAAACTCGAAACGTTTTTGCACAAAATATTCACATATTAATATCATGTTTAGTAATAATATGTAGTACATCAGTTGTCATCGCATCGCATATTTCAATATTATTTTCATGTTTTGAATACGTATAGCGTTTGTTTGTACGTTTAAACAGACACGAAAGACTTTCCAGTTTCCACTATATATACTGTCACATAAATAATATTTTGATATTATTTTCCAGTGCGTGCGTTTGCACCTACTCTACTACAGAATAGTTGTAATTTTATATTGCATGCACGTTTGACCACGGCGTTTATGGACTACGGTTTTGAGGGTTCGTCTTGATTAATTAAAAATTAGTTTCCTCCAGCGATCATTAAAAACCGAAATATGCATATCGTACAAACGGACGAATTGTAATCTCTTATTCTCATCTATCTAGGAACAGCGTTGGCTCGTCGCAGTAGTACAAACACTACTGCTGCAGTATTTAACTGTGCGATAATTATTTAGTAGCTTAAAGTTTTACCATTGAAATTAGCACGATGTATAGTTTTCTACCGAAATATGTGTATGTTGGATGGAGGGTATGTTTCAACGCATGGTATACTGAACACTGTACTCAATGTATAGAACTGCTGGTAAGTCTCAAGTATAAAGTAGACGTCTCCAGGAAGTGTTAAAATTAGGTATAAAGCCAACCCCGCGTGGTGAAATTAAAAAAAAAAGTTGGAACCTTTTAGGCTCGGGGACTTACGGTGCTCCCTAGGTGCTCCCCCGGTGCTCCACAGGTACTGTGGTACTGAGTCTGAGCTTTAGAATTTTATCTCGTACCTACATATTATGCAATAACAACCGATTCGATTAAGACAAAAATACATAAAATAATGAAAATGTAAGTTCATGTGAGTTATGCTGTATAAAAGCAATGAATCGAAAATCAAGATAGGTATATGCGTTTCATTGATACCACTCATAAACTTGCAGATACCAAACAACTTTTCCCCAGGCCCCAGTTACTGTATTAAAAGATAACTACCATATTAACATTGAAAACCCTTATGGTTACGGAATATGGGGTACCATATGATACCAGGTACCTATTAGAAAAATGTATCTAAATATTGTATCCTATAATTAGGATATGATTCTCAAATATATTATAATATTATATATTTCGTTAAACATAAAATTAATAAATGTCAAATCCGCACTATACAGGTAAAGTAGATAATAATATCGTAGATGTACACCCCCACACTGTACGATAATAAATTCACTGACCTGCAGCCGATGATCTCAGGTCAAGTCGTCCTAAATTACAGATTCCCGTCCGTGGTGCATTAATTATAAATCACACGGATAAACCTCGCCGTCTCGTCTCCTGCGGTCGTTGGTCATTCGAATGCAAAAACCACACAACGGACACTATTGTAATCAACGATGTATACACCTACTGTAAAAACAAAACTCGTCCGCAAATTTTTTTTTTCATTCAAATTTTCCCACACGCGGGCACAGACTAACGCGGCAGCGACGACGGCGGCGGTATCCACGCACGACAACAGACCGTTCGCACCCGTCACTAAGAGGTGACTGTAAAAAAAAACACAAGTCGTTGTTCACCAGACTGTGTTGGAAATATACGTTTGCCCCTCTAATGCAATAATAGTAATAATATTATTATGTGCACGCGATTCCCCGTCCCGTTTTTCCATAACTATCTCACCCACACTCTCTCACTCACTCTCTCTCTCTCTCTCTCTCTCTCTCTCTCTCTCTCCTCCCGCGCGTCTGTCACGCGGGTGTCGCGGTACCTGAACACGCCGCTGCTGCTTTTGTTTTTCGCCGTACCCGCGTGACACCAGGTGACCGACACACCGCGGCCGCTTCCGAGTCCGTCGCACTTCCGACAAACAATTATTATAATATTATTATTGTAATTTATATTATACAGAATACAGATACCGATACCCGTATGTATGTATGTATGTATGTATGTATGTATGTATGTATGTATGTATGTATTTATGTATGTATGTATGTATGTGTATATATATATTATACCTCCGATGTAAGTATATAGTTTTTAAAACGAATAAGTACGAAAAGTACGATATTGTTTCCGTTTTTTATCCTCTTCAACGTTCAACGATGACGGACAATAATTATTATTCTAGTATAGTCTTATATAATATACACCTAACCAGCTAACCTAACCTATCATGGCTATATATTATACAAAAATGTACGTACGCTCATTTTTGTTGTATAAGTATTAGAAATATATTAAAAATATTTACTTGATAATTTTATATTTCAAAGTACAAAATACTAAAAGGTGGGCCAGTGGGTGTCGTTCTGCTGTACAGTAGGTTGCAAGTGGGTCACTGTATAATGGAGGGTATTAAATTTGAATTCAATGATATAATATCATTGTATAAGAAAAACGATTCTGAGCGGTGACGGTATGTCAGTCTATGTATAAGACATATTATATACATATCTATGGTATTAAACAAAAAATTGACCTATAATAGGTACCTATAATAAATTCCAAATTAATCATATCACAATATCCATTGATACTTATAACGCGTTATCCATCAACAAAAACCGTGATACTATCATAGATATATAATAGTACACTTTAGAAGTTTCAAGTACCCACGAATAATATTATTCAATCAAAACAAAATAACTAAAATCGTAATTCTTGGTTTAAATATGAAATTTTGTCTAAATTTGAAATTAAAATGTCTGTAAAAAATAAGTGTGTTTATATATTTTTTAGATTTTTTAGTTACAGTATGAATTATTTAAGAGAATCTTTGTTTTAAATTTTCAACTCTTAGTTATAAAAACTGAACATTTTATAATTTTTTAATTCCAACAATTGATAATTTTCGAGATTTTGATAAATTTTGTCAAAATTCCAACTTTAAATGCTTATAAAAAAAAATCATGCATATGTATTTTTAATATTTTTCAACTGCTATTGTAACAATATATCAGGAGCCTTGTATTAAATTTTTACACTTTTTGGCCCAACAGATAAAACTTTATTGATATTTATAGAAAAAAAACTAAAAAAAATTGAAAGCTGTAAATGTCCATAAACAGCTCAAAAAGAGTCAAAATATTTTCAAAATTGTATGGTGTATAAAAAATGCTAATTTAAACATTCAGTGAAATTTTCATGTATCTACAGTTGTTCGTTTTTGAATTGCAACAAAATAAGGAAATCGCTACATGAGTAATCGAGTGAAAATCCAATGTTGTAAAAATTTGAATTTCAAACGCTCATAAAAATTTAATTTGACTGTCCGGTAGAGATTTTTTTATTGATAAATTTAGATAATCTTATAAGGAATCTTGTGTTTCATTTTCAAATCTTAGATTTAAAAAGAAAAATTTTTACGAATTCTTAACTCAAAATAATTTGCTAATTTTCGTGATTTTTCCATATTTTGTCCATTTTTGAACTTTAAATGCTTATAAAAAAAAATTGTGACTAAGGATTTTTAATATTTTTCATCTGCCTTTGACACAACATATTAGGAGCCTTCTATTAAATTTTCAAGCTTTCGCAACCAATAAATAAAATTTTATTGATATTTTTAGAAAAAAAACTAAAAAAAAATGGAAAATGAAAATGTCCCTAAACAGTTCAAAATAAATCAAAATATTTTGAAAATGTTATCGTGTATAGAAAATGCAAATATAAACAACCAGTGAAAATTTCATGTATATACGTTCATTTGTTTTAGAGTTACACCAATAACCAAAATCGATTTTTTGGAAAACCAATTTTGCGTAAAAATTCCCGTTTTTCCTTAATTTTTATGTTGTTTTTCCCGGCGCTTGTGAAAACTACTGGGAAATGTTTACTTTTGACCACCCAAAGTACCAACTAGATTCACTTTCCTACCAGAAAAGCTACTGATGAAGAAAATCCAAGCATTTTTACTGTCCTAAAACGTGATGACAGACACAAAAATATAAATAAAAATATAAAAAAAAACATACATCATTGTAAAACCAATACATTCATCGCTCCGCTCAGAATCTAAAAAAAGACCAAGTTTACTTTTATACTGAAATTATATGATATGGGATTATGGGGACTATCCGACTATCAACTATATGCACTTTATTAAAATAATATTTACACAGCTATCTACAAAAAACAACTTACCTATAGACGAAATACTGTCTTGAAGATTTCTTAGATATAGTCGAGTAGGTATAACCTATGTTATTAAAATCACCTGGATTTTTTTTTAATGTTTTCATATTGATTTCAATACTTATTATACAGTACACTTATACACCTAATATTATTTATTAATTATTACGATTCAATTTTATTTTTTCATTTAAATACTTAAATTACTATTTGAAATACATTTAAAAAATATTTTTAACAAAACGCATACGAAACTGGCTACGAAAAAATCCATAGTTCAATTTTATAATTTTGAAAAAAAAATGATTTTGTATGACTTATTGATCAAATTGATTTTAAATGACCAAGCATTCTGATCATTTAAACTCTGAAGGCTAATATTAAAACAAAATAAAAATAAGTAAATTATCTTTTATATTAATTATAAAAAAATAGTGACAGGAAATAATTAAAAGTATATTTTTACTGGAACACGACGAGAGCATAAAGCGAAAGTATTTTTCCATTCACGTTTAATTCATAATAATATATCTTATATATTTATATATATTAATATTATACGCTGTTCGTACAAACCTTAAACTTCTAATAAATAATAAGTAATAACTGATAACTAATAAGTTAATATATATATTATATTATATACCTATTGGCTGTACATAATATTATTTTTAACCGTTTACGCGTCCTAGCCTGTGCTTCAGTGCAGGTATTGTTCGGCTGTTAGTTATTTAATTTATGTTACACTTTAACAGTGTTAGATGAAATCTAACAGTGTTGTGGTTTAGCGTGAAGCTGGTTCGTTTAATAACGTACACGACTAATTTCTGGAAAGTGCATTCGTTTCGTTTTTTTCGAAGAACACATTTGTTGCATATTGACAGCGGCCGTCAATATGAAACCAAAAAAATTGATCGCACTTATCCGTTTCAAGTAGAATTCTTTCGATTAGTTTCTCCACCTCGACGTTGAAAATTCTAATATCATTTTAAAAAAAAAATTAGAGTCTTATCAGAAAGTAATAATTATAACACCAAAGTAACAAACATATTATTTCATTTATTCGTTCCAAGTATAATCGTTTAGAAATTAGAATATCTAAATATATTGTACAAGACTTTAAAACGATGTACTACAGAAGTACAGACTACAATAATAATTATTCTAATACATTTATTTCAATTTAAGTAAACATAATATTATGTTGTTTACTTCAAGAAATGTAAAATTTGTTATTATGATTGGCATAAATGTGGGTATACACGTAAAGCAAAGCATTATTATTAAAACAAGTCTAATGAACACAATATTCGTAGGTAAGTACAATATTATTAATTATTATTTATTTATCATTATATGTGACGTCCATTGTCAGCCAATGAGATAATATTTGGGAAAGTTGAACATAGCTCCGTTTTCTTCGTCGTTATGTATCATAGTCGTTGTTTCAATTTCTGAGACGTTGACCGCTGACTTCAATTCGTCCGGTTTGTAATCTCTGACCTGTAAAAAAAAGAAAAAATAATTATATTTAACAAAAGTTCTAGTCTCTATCAGTGTTTTTAATTCTTTATAACGATCTTAATCGATTACCTTACCGGTCTCGAATCATTTGGCCTAGTCTTGACACCAGCATTTTTCGGCCGCAGATCTTCGGCGGGATACGGATCCAGAGGTACCTATAATATGCGCAAATGGTTATTGTTACAGACTTTAGACACTAATATATTATATATTATTATTATGTTTGCTGTTTACCAAAACTTGAGGCACTGGTTCTTGTGGGATTTCTGGCCAAACTATCTCTTGTTCTTGCTGCACATCATGTAAAAAAATAACGTAAATTAAATGTGACTTGTAGAGGGGGTCCATGCATGATCATAGATGAAAACCTCGTATATGAGTGTTAATTGGGAAAGGGGGAAGGGAATTGAGACATTTTAAAATCCCGAAATTCTCATGTATAATATATTCGTGGTTAGACATATCTAATATACTGCGCAGTATACTTCGAGCGAAGAGTCTACAGTGGTTACCATAATGGTTATATGCGGTTATAAATACTGCTTACGATAAAAACAAATTTTTATGATTTTAATGATTTATAATTTTTAAATGATACCATTCCTTAATTACATGTAACCATTTTGGACACTAATATGATTTTCGATTACACTTGAATACATGTGGTATGTCCCATCCATGTATACATTATTATAATATATTGTATATAATGGAAATCATACGATATATTTTTTTTTATTATAAAACATTGTTACGATTTCATAAAAGTTAACATTATAGTTACAAAAATGATTTTTTTAATAATAGTCGTTATAGTGTTACTATAGGTACGTAAGGAAATTGAGGAAAATTAGAAATTTTGTTTCCAGTCAAAATGTATTTATTAAGAAAATATACTAAGCACTTTTCTATAGACAATATTCAATAAAGGAAAATATTAAAATATTTTTCAATTGCTTTTAGTGTCGCTTTAAGCGTTATCTTATACATTTCCACTGCACGGTTATTACATGATGGGAGTGAAACTTACCTGGGAATTTTCTAAGTCGATTCTGATGGTAGTCCCGATCGACTCTGTGGGCTCTAGGGTCTGCGTTATAAAAAAAAAACGGTCAAAACATTACTGAACGCCAGCGGAACAAGTGGTTTAAAAAAAAAAATGTAAATTGCTTACTCTAAACTCAGGACGGTCTTCATTATTATTGTTCTGTTCGGTCACGTACTGAATACCTGCTGCATCGACTGCAGTTGCGGTTTCCGTGTCACCGACCCTACCACCGGTCTTTGAACACACGCGTTTTACATTAGATAATTAAATATTATACATTGTCTGTTAAATATTAATCGTGATGAATGATAATATGTATATATAGGGTTGCCATTCGTCCCGATTTCGCCGGGACACTACCGGTTTTTACTACAGAGTCCCGATTGTTTTCATTTCCCGGCCGGGACGTGGATAAGTACCGGTTTCTTAAAATAAGTCCCGAATTGTTCACGTGTGAATAACAAACAATAAATAATTGTCGGAAATTTCCGAGATAGCCGAGGACCGATAATTTTACAGATAAACTTTCATAATGACATAGCGTATACAATTTATAGAAATAACGATTAGTCGTATATTATAGTCATATATTAATCTTCACTCTTCAGTCATACGTATTTAGTATTAAATTACTTTGCTGTGTTCTGTGTTGTAGTTATTAATTTTTATTTTTATGCTATTCTACGTATTATTATTTTAAACATCATGGCTCCAAAACGATTATGCAGCTTCACTGACAAACTCCAAAATGAATTTCCATTCATTAAAAAGGTAAAAACCGACAATAATTTTGATGTGCAATGTACTGTATGTTTGAGTACATTTTCAGTTAGCCATGGAGGGAAAACTGATATAACATATCATATGAAATCCAATAAACATAAAATAGCACAAAAGGCTGCATTGACATCTGGCAAAGTAAATAATTTTTTTACACCATTAAAAGCTAATGACGAATCATTGAAATTAGCGGCCAAAGAAATAACCTTAGCTTTTCATACTGTTATGCATAATCATAGTTTTAACTCAATGACTTGTACAGCAGATCTTATTCGTCTTTTATTTAATGAAAAAAAATTTACTTGTGCTAAGACAAAAACCCGTGACCTAATAGTAAATATTTTAGCTCCTTTCGCAATGGAGAATACTATTGAAGGTTTAAAAAAAGCTAATTATATCAGGGGCGCCATTTGGGGGGGGGGCAGGGTGTGCACTCGCACACCCTGTAATTTTGGTGTCCACAATTGGCCTAGGCCTCATTAATACTATGGCCTTCAGTTTGCTTATCTTTAATTGTACATGCACCGCAGCTATTCACTGATAATCATAAATTATATTATAATATTATTGTTTTCTTCAATTTGATAATTGATAAATTGATATCGGTATCACTTTATCCACTGGCACACACAAATATATGTAATTGGTAAATGGTTACTGATAAACAACAGACATAATAATACGCATCTATTCCAGGGGCGTCATTTCAACTTTTCGATAGGGATGCAAACATTTGAATCAGGCCAATTGTTCCCTCCACTAGGCCATTTATATATCCTGTTTATTTAGTGGAACTTAAAAAAATTTCCGATCGCTTTGCTCACTCATATCCCCACATTTTAATATTCAAATACTCATTAATACTTTTTTTTCAAACATATTTAACCAATTTCATATAAATAAAAAAAGATATATTTAATAATATTTGTATTAAACAATAACATAAAAAGAAATACAAAAACTAATTATGTACTTTAACTAAGTAAATAGGTATAACAGTAAAAGTACTAAAAGTTATTAAAAAAGTGGATAACTCCTATTCTTCATTTTACCAAAATCATCCACAGCTTTATTTAAATCTATTTTATTGGCATCGTCCTTTTCAACGTTTATTATCATGAGATCACTGAGAAAAACTGAAAACACTAGAAACGTTTTTTTAACGATTGGCCTGGAGGTGGGAAAAAATTGGCCTCTTTAATTGTTTGCACACCTTAAAAAAAAACTGAAATGGCGCCCCTGAATTATATTTCTGTGCTTGTTGATGCCTCAAATCATAAGTCCGTAAAATTAGTTCCTGTAATTGTTAGATACTTTAATCCAGAGAATGGGATTAAAAATTATATTTTGGACTTTTCGAGCTTACCCGGAGAAACTGCCAAAGTGTTTTGAAAAAATTTGAACTCGAAGAAAAAATAATAAGCTTCTCTGGAGATAATACTAACACAAACTTTGGCGGTATTGCTAGAAAAGGCAAAAATAATGTATTTTTAAAATTAAAAAATACATTAAAGCGTAATATTTTGGGATTAGGTTGCTGCGCACACGTAATACATAACAGTATTCAGTATGCTGCGGATAGTCTTCCTATTGATATTGAAATAATAGTTTGTAAAATATTTGGATATTTCCATATTTATACCGTACGTGTTGAAACATTAAAAGAATTCTGTTCGTTTGTTGATGTTCAGTATAAAGAAATATTATCACACTCCAAAACAAGATGGTTATCGTTATATCCGGCAATTGAAAGAATAATAGAAATGTTTAGTGCACTTAAATCGTATTTTTTATCCCAAAATAACTGTCCAAACATTTTGAAAACATTTTTTAAAAATGAAACTACTATTTTGTGGCTTAACTTCTTACAAAGTCAATTGAAAACTATAAATATATACATTAAAATAATTGAAAATCAAAAGCTTTGCGCGGTGGAACTTATACTAATTATGGAAAAATTAACTACAAAATTAAAAAATAAAAAAGATGATTTTTTTTTACCAAGTGATATTGAAGCATTACTTGTTCATCTAGAAGAAAGTGGTGAAATAATTAAATCAGAGTTTAAAGAAACGTGTACTAAATTTTATGACTTATGCATAAATTATATAACAGATTGGACTGCTTCAAACCAACATATACCAGAATTAAATTCATTAACATGGGTTTGTTTGTCAAACAAAGATGAAATAAATTGGTCCAACATAAAGCCATCTATTTCTTTTCTAAAATTAAATTTTAATATTACTTTAAACGAGGAAGAACTGTATGAACAATTTAAAATGTTTGAACAATTTTTAAGAAATAAAACCGATGAATGGCAATGCAAAACATCTGAAGAAAAATGGCTGTCAATTTTTAAATCATTTAAAGAGAATAATATTGATTATTCTATGTTATTAAAAATTGTAGAATTTGCATTTGCATTGCCTGGATCTAACGCTGCAGTGGAGAGAATATTTTCATTGATGAACAGTTGTTGGACAAAGTCACGAGGTAATTTATGCATCAATACAGTAGAAGCTACTTTAGTCATTAAGACTAATTTGGAAAATAAACCATGCCAACAATTTTATGAAGACATTTCGAAAAATAAAGATTTGCTCATTCGAGTTCATAAAACTGCAAAATATTCAACAACAAATCAAAAATCAGAAACGGAAGCTTCTGGATCTCAAACATGAAAAAATTCGAAAAATGAAGTTAGATGAAATCGATGATGAATAATGATGCATATTTAAACAATACACATATTAGTAAATAAGTAAGACCACTCTGTTTTAAATTAAAAATTGTGTACCTAATTAATTTTTTTAGATAATTTAAAATTATATTTATGAATAAGATAATAATAATACTATTATTACATTTTGTGCTATTTCTAATTTTTGACTTTCTTATTTATTATAAATTATAATATAATAAAAACATTAAATAACGTTGGACTAAAAAAAGTTTTATTAAAAATTCCAAAGAGTGTGTTGTGGGGGGGGGGGTATTATAGTGTCCCGACTTGTATTTTTGTATAAATGGCAACCCTATGTATATATATTTAGCACCTACCTGCGATGTGGTGATATCAGATTCGTACAAAGGCCGCACCGTACTGACTACCGCAGGATTTCCGTTTACCGTTTCGATCGTCGTGGAATCGACACTGGACGGTACGCCAGTAGTCTGAACATTTAAATTGAATGATCGTTGAATATTTATCAATTGAAACACTTATAACAACAAAGGCCCAATTCCCACTTTCCCTTTTTTTAGGTGACAAAAAATGTGTTCATAGAAAACTAAATATTTTAATCACATATTCTTTTTTATGAATACTTATTTAATGCCTAGCCAAAATCATTAATTAAAAATAAATGTTCTACCATAGAAACATATTAAAACGTACCTACTTTAATGTATTATAATTTTTGGGCCCTTGTTTTGATAATAGTTGCAATTATGAACATTCCAAACCCAGTACATTTTTGGAATAAATACATAATACATACTTGGACGTCGGTTTGACGGTTCGGTTCAACTGTAGTCTGTACATTTTCGAATGATTCATTATCCTGTAGTGGTTTGATGGTCACCAGCACATCCGTTTCAGATGAAATCTATACAAAGAAAAACATTATACATTTCGATGCTTAGGCACCTATAATATTGTCAACGAATCTTTGACTTTTATTCAGTTAGACACCTTAATTTTGTCCTCGTTCTCTTTAATGATTCGGTAATGCTCCGTCGCACTTTCTGAAACCACCGCTGTTGAATATTCATCAAATTGTTTTACTCCAGAGATTGTTGTCTAGAATCGTGAAAATGTAACTATAAAATTCGTTTTGATAGTCTTAAATAATAATTTCATAACCTAACAAAACACAGCGACATAGATTACCTATTGATTAATAGATACATTTCAAGTGCATAAATTATAACTATTTTATAGCAACACCCACCTATGTTATAACTTATATTCTATTCGTGCAATAAATATGAAATTATTTCATTAATCGAATGTTCATACCTGGAAAGCTAGTCGGCTGTCGCTACTTTCAGTGGTTTGTCCAGGCCTGTCGTAATATGATACCGTTGTTTGAACGTTTCTTGTAATCGGTATCTGGATCAAAAAAAATTCTAAAATAGTAATTATACAAAATACAAATAGAAAGTGATGAAATAATTACGGGTTTTGTAACCGGTGAATTATTTTCTGTGTCATCGATTACGGTAGATTCTGCACCAATCATGGAATTGCCGACTTCAGTGGTAATTTCCTTATAACATACAACTGATATTAGGTATACCATATAAGTCATATAATTATATTATAGTCAATATAACGTACTACTATATGTTCAAAATATGTTTAGATCTATTAAAGAATAAAACATCTTCATAAAATATACTTACGTCTACAATAATAAATTACCATATAAAATTATCACGTAAAGACAACATCGAATATCGATAAATAATAATATTAATTAATACAAATTAATAATTAATAACCTACCTATACTAATTCTATACAATACTGTACACAATTGTCTAGCTTACCTTGACCTGTTCTTCGTGGGATACTGTATCGGAATATCCTCCCTTATGATCTCCTTTCGTGGGAACCTAGACAAGACGTATCGTAGCGTTAAACCATGTGTATGTACAATTTAATAAATCGTTAACTATTATTATTATTTATATATTATATTATCCAATGTTTCAATATCAAGGTTTTCATCAATAAAAAATTAAAAACAACACAATTGTGTTCGATACTTCTCTTTAGATTTTTATTGTATTCAATGACAATGGATTATTAATGTAAATCCTAGTGTATATTACTGTACGTCTGTAGTCTATACTACAAAGTGTATAAAAAGATTATCAAATCTTGAATTTATTTAAGCTATAAGTAGAAATGCAGATAATGCCACTTAGAATTTTTCTTAAGTTTTTCCAGAGAAAAATTGTAGTTAAAAAGAAAAACGTATGGAAAAATATAGAATTATATTATAGGTATGACGTACCTACAGGCTATATAAGTACTATAACGCTAAATAATGATAACGTCATAAAATCCTTGTTATTATTGTGTTACCACTTACCATGGTAACTTCTGAGAATTTCAGTCAGAAAAAAATTTTGTACCCAGCCAAAAAACATAGAAATGTAAAAAAAAAATTAAAGGTAAGATAAGATTATTGTTATTACTTGAGGCTGAATCGGAACTATAGGTACTGAAGGCATTTCTGTAGTGATCATTCCACTCTTCGAATCGTCAATAGATTCTTGGCCATCGTTTTCATTTCCCTTAATCTGCTTGAAAATAGTTTAAGTTAATATGTTATTACTTAATTCAATTAAAATAATTCGTGCGCCAGAGGACAAAGCCCATATATTATTCCATAATACATATTCGTAGCTTGTTGGCATACCTACTAAATTACGAACAATAATAATGAACAAACTATCTGAGTTGTCATCCCCTCGGTATACAAAGTCTTGCAAATTTTACACTTTGCAATAAAATTACATAGTTACCTACCATAGACTAAATTAGTTGTATTAGATAATTTCCCTATTATTTTATCATTTTCTAACATCGAGATGTATTTAATATATAATTGAATCATTTAATAACTCAAAAATTATATTAGCTAGGTATACTATAATTATTTTTTATTTTTTTACGAACAATTTAAAACCAACGTAAAATATTAGAGCAATTCCAAGACACGTATTTTTTAAGATAATATTCTTACATTTGAAATTTAACGCACATTTATTAATAAAAATAATTTATAGTAAGTATTTTAACTATTATAGACTAATGTCTAATAGTATATACATGTTCATATTTACATTTGATTTTTGAGTTGTAATCTTTACACTTTCCAAATTAGGGTCTACAGTTTCTTGTTGTTGTTGTCCTTCGCTGTGTTCAATTCCATCCTGATTGGTAACAAATGTACATTATAGATTAGTGTTCGTTTATTTAGTTATGATTCCTTCAGAATAAGTTGTTTTGCCGTTTAATTTACTCACCGTTGGATTTTGGGTCGTAGATATCTTCACTTGACTCCAATCAGGAAAATTGATTTTTTCTTCGGGGTTCGAATGTTTTGTCTGTAATAATGTGTAATATTTTTGATAAATATAAGTTTATTTGTTATTTGCAATTGTTTAAACTTTTATTCTACGGCTCTACGCAGTATATTACGTTGAATACATTATAGAAATAATAAGCAATTCAAAGTTTTTTTACATTTGCGTATTTCGATTTTCGGTGGATATGCGATGCAATTCAAAATAATAATATAAAGATTTAGACTTAAGCACAGCTGACAATCAAGTTGAATCACAAAAGATTCAGAACAAAACGAGCACAAATAATAGTTATTAAAAGTATAATTCAACTGTAGTGATTATTATCGTCATGTACATTGTACAATGTTATTAAATTGCTATTAACGGCGCAAGTACAATAATATATTGTATAGTTATAACTTATAATATTATAAGGTAATAATTCGGAAATTCACAAAACCCAATCTCTCTGTTTACTCGCGAGGGTTCTATATCTTATTATTTACTTTCAAAAGCACGCACTTACCTCTTCAGTAGGGTACGGAATCGGATCCACGACGATTGGCCGTTGGCCTGCACCGATGGGCTCCACTACTTTTTGACCTCGTTGCACGACTGTGCTCTGTAATGGTAAAAATGTTAATGTGCGAGGTGAACAATTGATACTGAATATATCGGACCCTTCCTCAGAAGTCACCACAGTACTACGTTTTAATTTTTTTATCCATTTCTACATCTGCAGCGGGCTTTAGGCATAGCTCCTGAATCAAAGCTGGGCAAGTTTGTCATTTTTTTAACTAGTTAAAGTTAAGTTACCTATTATAACTAACACTATTTAAATCTGTAGTCGTTTATCAGAAATAATATGATAAAAAATGTATCCTTTAGACTTTTTTTTTTTATAAAATCCTAACTATTAAATATTAATACGAATACTTAATATTATTATCCAGTCGGCACTCAACAGTTCTACGGTTTACGAATTATCTTTGGAACATTGAGATTTTTATAGTGAAAAAATAACCACTTACTTTTTATTTTTAAAGCATCCAATCTGGATTATTTTGTGCATTGAATTTAGATCTCGTTTAGTTTTATGAATTAAAACAACTATTTAAGTTAGAAAGTTACCTTAAAAGTAAATTTTGGACATGACTTTAACTACCTATCTATAACTATAGTTAGTGCTCAGCTTTAGCTCCTGCAGTGGCTTTCGAATTCTAGTCATCGTGCACGCTTACTTTGATGCGGCGGGTCATATCCGCGTACAGTTTCCGGAAGTCGCTTTGAGCAGCTGGAGCTGCACCACTGCCGTCCTCCTGTACGGTCACCGAAGCGGACTGCACACCGGCGTTTGATATCACTCTGTATCCGCCCTTGTCCGCCACGTAATCGACGCGAACCACTCGACCGTCGCGGTCCGCGTAACTGTAATATCCGGTCACCGTGCCGTCACTGTCGCGCATCTCGGCTCTGCCCTGTGACATTATTTCCGCGCTGTTATCACTGTTATCCGTCTCCAACCGATTCCCGCCGGGAAAACCCGGAAAACCCGTCCCGTCCCGTCCCGGCATCGACCGATTACGTAATTATTATATTATAAAACCATCTCTCTGCGTGTCCCTGTCTACGTAACAAGAGACCACTCATTGTTCTTCGTCCCTTCTCATCGTATACGACCTACAACCACAACTACCCTAAACACAGAATGCTATACCTAACGAGTAATGAGTGCAACTAAAGTGCACTTTAACTTTGTTATTTCATATAATATACCATTTAGACACATATCCTCTATACCTCAGTTGTATTTGCCACATTCACACTATAACTTGTAATTTATATGTTAAATACTTTTCTTTTTTTTCAACGTTTTTTGTTTTCATTATTATTTATCTGTCTCACTATACTGTTTTCTATACACACTGTACATCCATTCACATTATAACTAATATGTACCGATAGTTAAATAAAATATAAATAAATAAATAAAAAATAAAAATCAATGAGGAGCTTTACCGCTATTGGTACCCTGGAAGATTTGTAGTTTGATCGACATAGTTTTTATTCGCTATACTAGGTATGCTATGCTTCAAGTGTATACATTTTATATTCATATTATATTATATTAAGTGTAATAGTTAGAAGTATGGCGTATCAAAGGTTTAAAAACAATAAGTAATGTTATATAATTATTAATTAAAATTAGTGGGGTGTTTATGGATGATAAATGGTAATACTGCAAGTATGGTACACCACCCCTCCGCCCTCCCTTTTTTTATTTTTATAAGTTTAATAATGTGTTTAATTGATACACATATTGAATAACTTGTACCTAATATTACTTATTAGCAATACGAGGTGATTATTGACGGTTATACATTTTTTTTAAAAGAATCGTATTTATTATTATTTTTAAAACTGAATATACCTAAGTAACAAGTTTTTAATATAAATATATTTTACTAATGCTATTTTTTTATTTAATAAATATCAGTTATAATGCTAAGGCAAGAAGTTTAATGTCAACCATTAAATACAGAGCAAGTGCAATTTTTTTTTTGCAATTATTGCCATGCTACAACTCAGACAAAAAGAAAATTGAAAATACACCAGTTATTAAAAATAGATATATTATATTATAGCCACTGCAGCATTAAAATATAGGACAAGGGTGGCTGATCCTTAGTTTGGAGCGAAATGCAAAGAAAAAGAAGAAGGAGAAAAATTGTATTTAATAAAAAGAGCTTAAGATCTGTTTAAATATTGATGGCAAAAAGATGAAATATTGACCCATTTATTTAACTATGCCAACACAATAAATAAAGCTCATCTTCCAAAACTATTTTTTAAACGTTAAGAAGTTATTTTTTTTTTTAAATAAATGTATGTTTTGTGTTGTTTTGTCGATTAATTTTAACACAATTAGCATATATTATGTTTATTTCTTATCAAAAAATGGTCTAATGATATATTTTATTTTTGCCGGATATAGACAATTAATGGCAGACATCTTTTATTCAATTTATACAATTTATACTAGATCGCAGGTAAAATGAGTAGATATGACAGTTTTCAGTTGGTGTTAATAAGATTAAGGATGGGAGGGTAAAAATGTAAAAAGAGTAGAAATATAAAATAGTAAAATATTAAAATTTTATAATCCACTTTTTTATTTGAACAAATTCGTTTTTTAACAAAAGTTTGTGTCTTTTGCTGATGATTAAATATTAAAATCTTCACCAATACATACTAGAATTTGCTCAAACAAACTGAAATATGTTTTGTAAAAAATTTTAATATAACAATCTCTAAAGTCTATAAGTAGATACTTAATTTAACCATAATAATATGAAATTATTATTTTAATTCCTCACCTGTTCGCCATTGGTGTGTCCGAATACATACTGTCCATCGGACGACTGCATGTGATAACTATCGCCTGAAGTGTCACAATTGGTGCCAGATTTCGTGCGCCCCACGGCGGCGCCTTTATTGCCCATCGTCGCCGGATAAAGGCCGGCAGACGCTGCTGCAATTACGATCATCAAGACTGCAATCTGTTCATAAAGAAAAACAAACAGGCATTGTGTTGTTATTAAAAAAAAAAAAATGTCCTCTATTTATTGTAATGCTGTTCGATGGAACGTAGATTTAGGTACGTGATGGGCACGACCCACGAGACCATCCTAATGGAAAACACGCAGAATAGCTCTATGCACTATATATTATTGGTTAGAATGTTAGATTCCACCGGTTATACCTACTAATATTGTCTTGGTTTATTTTGAAACATGTTTCTATACTATTAAAAAGTTAAGCAACACTCTCAACATACAAAAGAAATATAATTTTTGAATAAGGATTTCTAGGGATTTTTTAATTATTTCTTGAATGTTTTTATATATTTTCACACCTTAATAGGAGTAGAACACATTACTAAAAATGTTAATGTTTATGAGTTACGATTATTGAATACTGAACAAAGTTAAGTGAGCTCTGCACTAGTGCACCACATCTTTTGAGGGGTGCCCTGTCACAGTATTTATACCCAACTATTATAGGTCGATCACATTAAATACACGTAGATTAATACACTATAGATTCGAATATAACAATTTGTTCAGCAATGGACATTTGTACAGTCAACATTTTTGAAAAGAATTCTGCGTCCATGTGGTTTTCATTGATCGTAAAAAAATTATAAAATTATCTCTACGATGAAAAATAAATTAGACGTTAATACTCGAAACCACTGCATGGGTATAATACTATATTATTATATGTATAAATATAACGTCTTAGTAATTTTTAAAAATCACGAAAATCGACTGAGAATTTTAAACGATATAATAAAGGATCGCCTGGTGATGTAGGTACTACTGATTTAGAGAGTACATACACTGCACCGTACTATAAGTCCCTAGGTGGCTAGGTAAGTACATCTTAAACAATAGTATGAAATATATATATATACAAACTTACGGCAGACGAAAGATGCATCATTTTTCGTTGTGTATACGTCGTTATGTTTATCGTTATTTATTCAGAATAATATCGTATAAAACACTTAGGTATATAATACGGCACTTTGCGTCTGTCCTATGCGAGTAACGATGATCGATCGACAACCCCGTGGAACTCAAACTCAATCTTGTCGACCGTTTGTGCTCATCTTTTATACGCGTCGGTTTTTCGAGACGACCATAAGTCCGGAGCTGACGTCCTCGGAGTCGTGCCCTACCACCACCGGTGATCTCGGCCAGACAATATTATTGATTAATTGTTCCATCCGTTTTCCTGATTGATACAACATCATCATAACGTGTACAACGACGTATGTTATGATTCCGAGTAATTTTTTTCGATCCGAGAAAAAATTATGATCACACGCATCATTTTTTATTATTATCCACATTTGTTTTCCCTACGATATATATATATATATAACGCGCGTGCAAACGAGAACTCAATGATTAACTCGTCGATTACGGTTTTGTAATTATATAATTTCTGTATAATATAGTGCTCATATTATTAGATATAAGTACCTATGTAACAAACTATTATACATCTGCAGTTGTAGTACGTATCAAAATACACTAAACACCCACTCATATTATAGTAATGATTTACATTAACGGCAATGACACGGATTGTTCATTTTTTAAAGTATGATTCAAGTACTCATTGATACCAGGTGCCTATATATCCATCAAACGTTTTGCGCTTGAGGTGGACTCTCTATAAACGCAATGGTTCTCATTTCAAAAATCATATATTTTGTGCACATAATATATTATGTATAAAATGTATGCATTTAAAATATTTTTTGGGGGAAGGAGTGGCCGAGCGGTCTGAAGCGTCGGTTGCGAAGCAGCCGGCGCCGGTTTGATTCCTTAGTCACGGGCGGCATTTTTCTTCGGGCAAGTCACGGTGTCCGGAGAACAAGTGCCGTCATCCCCCACCCGGGCATGGCAGATACCCACGGGTGCCCAATGAAAAATTCTGCCAAACACAAACACTCAAGTGTAAAAACCCACCACTTCAAAACCCTACCAATACCACAATACAACCCTACTAATAGCTAATGGCCTAATAAAAAAAATATTTTTTTGTGCACCGAAAGTTTGATTTTCGATAGCAGTTGAAACGTTGGAAAGCGTCCTTTTTCCGTCCAGCGGGCGCTAAAGTGGGAACTTCTAAAAGTGCCGGGCGGTAAAGTGAAAATCCCCAAAAGTCCTGGGAGCACATATATGGGAGCGTATATCCTGCATAACCAGGCACTGAAATCTATACCACGGTCCTTACAAAACATAAACTTTTGGTTACATCTAATACATCTTATATTCATATTATAACCTCCATGCGTGACGCTTAAAACAAATAAAACCAAATCGTTTTTTTCATGAAAGATTGTTTCCGTAGAATAGTCTAGTTGTTGTATAGATCCTTGCATTACCTTTGCCGTGATCGATGAACACAGAGGCGATTACTATTTCAGTCTTGATGCGTCTCTCGCCTACGCTTGGATCGTGCGGACTGAAATAGCTTATTTCCACATTTCCACCCCTTGCCACACAACATACGATAATGCCCGCTGTCGTCACTCATCATCATCACGAAACAAACTTTTATCATATTATTTATTATTTATTTCTTTCATTTATTAATTATTTCACGAACGAATATTGATATAATGATATGCACTATGTGAAGGCCGCAGAGTCTTGCGAATGAAATAGCTGTTGCAGTTTAGGCAACTCAGTCTCTGCATCCGATTCTCATATCCATGGAGTAAAGAGTATAGACTATATATTTTGAGCACATGGGAATATGGGATTGGGATAGGTAGGTATTGAGAGATTATAATGTGTACGCGCTCTTTTGTGTTTTTCAGGCGCCACTAAAAAGATCTGGAATTTCAAATTTGCACTCCTGCGACCTGCATTCAGATTCAGAAATCTAACATACCTACACTATATTTTTCATGGAAAATAATAAAGGTGATTTTCTCATATTTGATTTTCCTGTGCCGTTTCAGCTCTAATTAAAGCTATATCAAACAAGTCATAATTGCACGTGCGAGTGACGATATACATTATAATTTACATTCAGTTAAATCATATATTCTTACCTAAATTGCAAGCGCATACCTAGAAATTAGAATTGTTTACCTACCTATAGGCTATAATATAATATACTATTATATACCTACCTAGCTATATAATGTATTATGATATACCTATATGTATAATTATATACACATCGACAGTGTAATATTTTTTCTTCCGAAGTCATTTCAAAGTTTAAACCATCAACTTACGTCCATATAGGTACTCCGCATAAACGCGTTTACAACATAATGTTTAGCAAGTTTTGAAATAAGTACCTACTCGCGGTTTGAAGAATATCGTTACAAAATCGTCTCCGTGTACAACGGCAATGTCGCTTTGCTCGAATTCAGAGTCTCCGCCGCGGAGTCCACGTGCAAAACATATACTCAACGATTAATATAATATACAGACATACAGTATACACACGTCATTATATTATTCACGATAATAATCGATCAATCGACGGGAAATTCTTCTGAATTATCGCGCGATGATCGGCAAGCTCGATGCCGTACATGGTTTTTACCGGCACATAAATTAATAATAAACGTTTCGTCACAACTACAGTTGTATATTTATCATTACGCGTTATATATTATTCATAATATTTTATTAATATAGATATAATAGATTTTAAACAACGGTGATAGACGATAGTAATAGTCGTAAAATTAAAACTAGATATATATATTATAATATGTGTGTAATGTGTATATCTACTAATTACTAAAACTCCATAAAACCTTGAAATATTTATACGGAATTCATTATTTGATTATTTGGTATCTATTTAGGATATTAAATGTCAATAATTTTGATGCAATCAATTTTTTCCCATCTTTATAAGTTATAGATAACAATAAATCACTGCATGGATTTTATGGAATCAAAAATAAATGTCCAGTATAACTGTCCACTATACATATACACTTTACCTACTGCACCTATATATGTATATATATATATATAAGTTGGACCAATACTACTTACTTATTTAAGTATTTTTCGTAACTGTAGCGTACCCGGTCAAAAATGATGCGTCACAAACTCGCAAACAGCAGTAGGTATATGCATTTTTGGTTTTTGTAATTTGAATGTAAGGAAAACACATGACAAGTTTTTGATAGGAAATATCAAACACGAGGATGACGTAACCAAATCGTGTTATGTGGTAAATAATATTGTTATTTGTTTTCCATTTTTTTCCTATGGGAAGTTCTTTGACATGTCATCTTCTCATGTCTTGTTTTTTATAGGTATGCATTATATTGCATGTAGACATCAGCTGGGTTTATTGTTCTTACTATAAAAGTCAACAGATCGCATTAATAATAGAATATATAAAAAAAAAAAACTGTTTTTTCTAATTTTTCTCGTTTTAAGGAGGAAAACGTAGTGTTGGTATTCTTTTATGGTGAAATGAGTAATAAACATGTATAGGTACGTACACAATCGGAGCGGACTGAAACATATTATTAATAAAAATCATTTTTTATTTAAATTAAACTTAAAATTTAATTTTGTGTTGCTGTAATATAGATTTTAATTAAAAACCAAATTCTAATGTACATACTTAATATTCTAAATATTAATAACAATAATACTAATGATTAATGATAATTATAACTCATAATTAAAGAACTAATGGTTAATGACTGAACGGTTATGAAGCAGTTATAATTTTATTATTTTTATTATTATTTAACTTCAAATATTTTCGACAACTACAAGGGTTGATATACAATATATTGTACAGGTATATTTTATTATAATTCAATACAAAAAATTCTATAGGATAACATTTTTCACGGCAGTAATCACAGAAACGGAACAATGAAATATGTCAGTATAATAGATACATAATAAGTTATTATTAATAACAATAACCGCCGAAGCGCAATATAATTACGACAAATCCGTTACACATAACATTATATTATTATAACATAATATTAATCATATTTGTATTTACAAGTGATGTATGTACAGTCGAACGGAATACAATAAAATGATCATTATATAAAATATTGTAGTAAATAAATATTATTATTAACAAAACACTTTACATAAAATATATAAATTAATACAATAATAATAGATGTATATAGGTCACAACTCACAGAGTCGCACACAAATTGACTCCCAAATCTAAATAAGTCTAAGTAAGTGACCATTTTTCACTCAAATTTCCTCCCATGGCATATTTAAAATGTTTTTATCAATTTCTTATTCTACCAGTCGGCAAAGGCATAATTATTTACTATTATCTTCGGTTTTATTACCAGATTATTGATTAAATATACAATATTGTATCAATTACCGGATATTATTGTGCGTTATCTTATTTTTATTAAAATATTACTTTTTTTTATAACTGATTATTTACCGTGGTATTGACTTCAGCCATTTATTCAATATTGTTACATTCATAAAAACATTTTCGTATAATTATATAGCCAGCTAGGCCTATTGAATTATTATTACTATACCTTCACACATTTATATTCACTTATAAATTATCATTCAATTTATTAATTTTTCATATTTTAATGAGAAGGCGACTTAAATCCTTCTGGATTAACATTAAAAACTTCGTGTGTGCATTGATTTATATTTTTGATTAAGAACAAACCCCAATGTTTGAGATTCAACCAACTAAAATTCAAACTATAAATTGATTAGTTTATCTATCGGAGGCGATTACAGTAAATTAAGTACGGACACCTAGGTACCTAAAATAGGAGACAATTAGAGTTCCCTTTTAAAAATAAAATGTACGGAAGACACTTTAATAGGGTCAAATTTGAGGAAATTCGAATTTCGAGTTACTAACCTAGCCACTTAAAATCACTGCTATCACTGCTGCTATCCCTGCTAAATGTCAACTCTGGTGTCGTTCCCGTTAGGAGTCTTGACGTTCAACAGAGGAGTCCCCTCGGCCAGCGTGATTGGAACGTCCACGATCACAGTATCGTTACTCCTCGTTGATGAGCTATTCAATGCACATTTTTCTTTACAATGGTGGCCTAATGGACAGAACATCAAACGAGGATTATGACTTTAGATTATATTGCATTACCTATTAAATAGTCGAAAACCACACGACACGGCACGACACGACACTGCCAAAAACTAGTTACATTTAATTGAACAAATTAATGAGTTAAAATATAAAGTTTTTTATCTTACAACAAACAGTCAACAGTTCAGCCATATATACATGTAATTTATTTGATCATAGTTAATGTCTAGTTGGTATTTTAAACGTGAGTATCTCGGGATTAAAACTAAAGTTTATTAAAATTAAACTGCGATGGGTATACGTCTAAATTAAAAAAAAAAACATACAAATGAGTAAACTAAGCTGCAGCAAATGTACATTTTATAAGATATTATATTACACAATAGCTCGATTCATTGGCACAAATAGGGGGGGGGCTTGGGTTGACTTAGTCCCCCCAATTGTCGGTCAAATCCCCCAAGTTCAAAATCTATTAATTAGTACTAATTTTTATATTCTATGGTACTCAGCAATACGGCCTATGGGAAGGGGGACTTGAGTCCCCTCAAAAAATTTAGTCAATTTGCGCCTATGGGCCTCGATTTCATGTTTATTATAAATTATAAGTACTTCAAAAATATTCTGTTTTAGCTTAAGTTTTACTCAAAATGTACTTTATGAATTGTATTTCGCGACGAATATAAATTTTACTTATATAGTTTGGTCCTATTGGTATATATTTATATAATATTTAACTGCAATTATTTGTAATTAAATTCTTGAATGAAATCATAATTTATTCAAATGTTTATATTTTACATTTTTAACAAACAAGTTAGATGATTATTACAATGATTTAATTGTGTCTTTGAAAAATAATTTTCTGAACACTGAGTTTATACAATACCTAGAATCGTGGCGGGTAGTGCGTCGAGCGAGTTACAGAACACCATCGACTTGCAGCCAGACTTTCGAAAAACGTATCGCATTTTTTCCGATGCGCTCAGGACGACAAAACGTTGGTCTTTGGCCTGGATTTCTGAAGATATTAGGCTCAGCCCCCTGGCGGCAGTATAGTCCAGTCCCTTCAAGTGCGCGCAGTTTATAACCAATGGTATTTTTGCGTAGCCTTCCTGTTTTGGGATTTGCATGATTTCCCTATACAAATAATCTATTGCGGGGAAATACAGTCCGTTGTTTGGCGTTATCAATACGAACTCCACTCCTTTGGACTATTATTAAAAGCGTTGAAATATAAAATACATATACATATTATATACCATATTACATTTATATAATGAATAATCTCTCACTTTGATTAATTCGATTTTTAGTTTAGGTCTGGACCACATAAGAGCTAAATGAATAATGTTTGCACATATGCCTGCAAGTAAACCGATTTCAACGGTAAAGAAAAGACTTATCAAAAGTGTGACCAATGTAACGAATAGCTCCGCTCCTAAAACAAAAATTATACAAAAACGATTGATTAAAAAACACGTACTGCGATGCCACCTATAATATAAAATGTATGACGTTTTAAAATGTATAAAAATGATATAATTCTGTAAACTTAAGTTTTTAAATGATAAAGAAGTCTATAAATTTGTTTAATAACTAACAAAGTAACAAAGTATAGGACTAAGACAATTTATATTGAACGCACAAATGGGAATGCAACGATCACATGGCGTAAAACATACCTAACATTATAATATATTCAAATTTTAAAATGAATAATCCACTCACGGTTGGTCTTCCAAAGAGGTTTGACTATCTGATAGTCTACCATGAACAACACGGCGCTGATCAAAATCGAGGACAGTATCGATCTTGGGATGAGATGGAAATGAGGCGTGAGGAACATGATGGACAGAAATATTAAACCAGTGGCGTATATGTTGGACAACGTCGTTTGGACACCACTAGCTTGGCTCAGGGCACTCCGAGTGAACGCACCGCATGTGGGCATCGACATAATGAACGACCCTGCTATGTTGCACATGCCCAAAGCCAACATCTCCTGCGTCGCCTCTACTATACCTCCGTTAGCTAAAGCACAGAACAAAACTTTTTGATTTTGATCCATAATTATTTTAATTAAGAAAAACACAACAATCAAATAATAATTATTTATAATAGGATATGAGATGAATATTAGATACCTACTTATGTACCTATGTGGTATATTATTTTAAAATAATATTTTATTCTCTTTTGTAGGTAAACTATATTAATATATAGAATGCCGGTGTATAGTCTGTTCATAACAGGAAGACAATAGTTAAAACCTAGAGTCTAACATTTCCGGTGATAGCTCGTTAGAAAAAAAATCTAGTAAAATAACAACCTCGCGACTTTGCAGTCTTGTCACTTGTCACTTGTCGGCATATGGATATATGCGTTAATAAGACGTTGCGAAATGTTTACAATTTACAGTGATTTTTTTTTAATAATTGATTCGACTATTTTCGACCGTTTGTGTCTTTTTTTTGAATAATATGATGTATACAATAATATTATAATACGAAGATCGAATCTGGTTAACGTTTCACTCCCGGGTATTCGTGAAACTTTTCTTAGGATATAAAAACCAGGCCATATCAGCAGCAATCATTGACATGATATATCGACTTATAATACATAAGACTTCTGATAAAAGATAGCAAAAAAGCACCAACGCGTGAAATACCTATGTAAATGTAAGTATAGGTACAGTAACAATGATCCACTGCAATCGGAACCAAAATTCATATTAACTAATACTTAGCCATTTAGATATTATATATTATACAGTATACCTATACTATTTAACTGATTTTCGACCGCGAATGCTGATTAAGTATAATATGTAATGTATATAATAGGTACATTAATAATTATTATCGATGATCTGCAATCGTCTGACAACAGTTTATTCATACATTTACTCCACTTCTCCCCCTCCCACCCACTCGTCGACGATCTCGAATCTCGATGATTAATATTAATAATAATAACACAACACGACATAGCGTTTACCATAAGTTTTAGCAATGGACACGTTGGCCAGCACCGACACAAGTGGTATGATGAATATGGCAGACCGGATCTCGTACAACATATCGGGCAGCGTGACGGTCGTGTTCCCTGACGTGTATCCAAAGGGCGGAAACTGTAGTGACGGCAATCCAGTTTCAGCAGTGTCTGTTGAATAATTATAACAAACCGATTATTGTTATTTCATAATGCTAGAAAGTAGAAACGCGTAACACAATAACTTAATATATTATAGAAAAAGCCAACCACACAATTTCGTTAATATCGTAGGTATTACGTAGGTATTAAGTATATGAAATAAACAATACATATTTGATTCGCTAACGATATAAATTATATACAGAATGTTTACATGAACTTTCACTAAAAATATTAAAATGTACGAATCATCAATATACTTGCCTGAGGTTAAATACGGCACGGGAGTTCCGCTGGATTCGAATAAATACGTGATAAACATTGCGAGTAGGACGACAGATGTGTTCCGACTCAGGGAAATGAACCACAAAACTTTTTTCAGATTCCCTTTGACCGGTACATTACGTAATTCCTAGAAAAGACACTATTTGTAAATATATTATCATTGAAACCGAACTGATTATATCGGTAAATTATTATTACGTGCATTTCATAATATCAGAATATCTGAATTGGTTCCAGGGTTGTTACGAAAGGTTAAAGGTATAGGTATCCAAATTTACTCCTAGATTTTAAAAGCAATTACTAAATTCATTTCAATTTTATACAGAATATCAACATTTAGTAGATCGGTTAGTACTAAAAATGTTCATAGTTATTTTTATATTCCTATTTTTGGCAAAGATTTGTATGCAATATAAATCCAAACGTGATATTGACGATAGATATTCAAGCTCATAACATTTTTTTAAATATTCCAACACAATTATCAAATATTAAAAAAACAAAATGAATCAAAAAAATGCAGGAATATAAATCGATTTGATTTTGCAAAATTAATGTCTTAAAAAATTTTAACAACACACGTGTGATTTCTTTAAAGTTTAAACAATATTTTATTTATATTATACAATACCTATGTATTTTTTATATTTGATTTATAACAATTTTAATATTTTTCTTTGTTTAGTACCTGCATGTTATTGCCATTTATTAATTATTATTCAAATAAAAATCTAATAATTTATATTTTTAATGGCAAATAAACTAAAAAAATAAATTGTAAAGAACATTTTTAACCATAACTTTGGTCTAAATAAACAGTCATAAGTCTGTTAAAAAGGGAAGGAAAATAAACTTATGTAGTACTCAAAAAAAAAAAAAAATTAAGACCTCAACTATTGTTGTACGTGTGAAAATTCCGGACCCAACTAGTGTAGTACCTGCATAAATCCCGGACCCAACTACTGTAGTACCTGCAAAAATCCCGGACCCAACTAGTATAGCATTTTTGAATTCGGGACCCAATTCGGATGCAGCCTTTAGTAGGTATTCGGTACGAAAAAATGTTCATATTAGTTTTTTATAATTCCTATTTTTTGCATAATCGCGATTATGTATGCCCGTAAATTGTGGATATTGTATTAGGTAACCTGAATCATAACAAAATTTTAACACTTATTCACCTTAACAAATCAAAAATAACTGTAAATGTTTGGAAATTTAAATTTCTTTGAAAAATGTTAATAGATGTATGCTGCATGAAAGATCTGGAATCATCTAACTATTCTAAATTTAGGTATAGGAATCAATCTGAATGCAGTCAATAATAAAATAAGTTTTGAGTTTTGTTGCGTATAATCACATTTAATTTTTTTGCTTATTAAATTTGGTTTTATATAATCTATAAATGAATTTTATAACCCAATGAATGAGGAGTATATTACTATTTATAGGAACGTTTTATGCAGATTGAACAATTTGTAAACTAAATAATACACTAATATTATTCTTGTGGGTCATGTTATGAGTTATTGAGTTAACGACGATAATATTTAACTTTGAAGCCAGTTCCTACTTCTTATCCACGTCAATTACCTATGTAAATATTATAAATTTATTATAGAAAATCGTATAGGTATAATATATTTTTTAAATAATTAAATTTAAAAATAATTTTTAATTTTTAAATTAAAAACATGCAAATCTAACAAAAAATGACCCACATATTTTTTATTTTTAAGCGCATATTTTCCTTCAATAAGCTTGACTCAAATGATTGAATAATAACCATTAACCAAATTACCTATTAATTTTATTCGAAAATATTAACACTATGATACAAAACATACCCTCATAGATAGAATTAAAGCAATGGCGCCTAGTCCAAAAATCATGTCACCGCTTCTCCTCTCGTGAAAGTGCTCTATCAGTTTCTCCAATATGTCTTTAACTGTATCGCCTTTGAATCTCACGCCCAAAATACCTTTTACTTGTGACATAATCACAATAATGGAAGTAGCGGTTGTAAAGCCCGATGTCACCGGAGTGGAGATAAAGTCGACCAAGAATCCTGTACATTAATTTCGCTATTATTTAAAGGTAATACAATTTTTAAGTGATAAATAAAAATAAAATTAGTTTGAAATGTTTTTCATTATTTTTTTGTTAAGTAAGACCTATTATTTTTTTGCTCAGTGAGTCCAACTGTTCAGACTGTTCAATCTCTACAATATCCCTCCCGTATAAGGTGCAACTATATTTAATTTTGATTCACGTGCAAATGACTTACCAAGTTTAAATAATCCCATCGATATTTCAACGATTCCACACATGAATGTCAATAGCACCACATATTCTTGAGTCAAATTTTTTGTGTACTCGTAAGTGAGTAAAGCCATTAGAGATGTAGGTCCCATGGAAACCTGCTTAACGGTCCCGAAAGTCATGTATATGAACCCTCCCATCAGAGCTGAATACAACCCAATCTAAATGCAAATTGACAAATAACTTATAGTGTCTTTGTAGTTCGTAGAGTTATATTGAGGTGTAAACTACGATCATAGGCATTATACCTAATATACTATAATATAGGACTATGGCTATGAGTATTTTTAGTTTTTAATTATACATACATCAATACATGTTGTCGGCCTAACTCGCAACTGTCCTAACTAAAAAAATTCGATTTTTGGATTATTACGTTTTCCTATAGAGTATAGATAATAATTTTGTGCATCGTTTAAAATCGTTATCACTCCAATCGGACACTTATTTGTCCATGAAATCAGTTGTTAAAGTTCGAAGGTTTTAATTCATTTTTTTAAATTAATGAAACGTATTATTCTTCTCCTGAAAAGTTGTAATTTTGGAGTTAGGACAATTATTGCGAGTTAGGTTAGGCCGACGATATTACATATTGTACATAAATAGGTATATATTATTTTACAGCTCTAAAATTGTTAATGTTTGCTTGGTTTAATTGTACCTATATATTATTATTAATTTTGAACTTACACAATAAAAAATTAAAATTTTATTTAAATAATACCTAATTGAAATAACTGCAGTACTTAACCGTACAATTGTACAAACTACAAATTGATAAATAGATTACCCCACCAATAGGCAATAACCATACAACAATTTTAAATTCACATCTTAGTGATATTAATCATTATTCATTATGTACCTATAGTACAACAGTACGTTGTTATATATAGATACAATTAACAAATTCAAAAATACCTATATCATATATGGCTATATACAACTGAAGAACATAATATTATTTCATAGCGGAATTGTTGTGATGTTGTGTTTTATTGTATATAATACTCAATAAATAATAATAATTAAATATTAATATATAGAAATATAATTCGTGTCAAAGTAAATTTCTAACTACTACTAACTACTTTAAGTAACAGCCGATACAATTTTCAAAAACACAATTTAGGAATGTAACTATACAATTATACATTTTAATTCAAAGAAATAATATATTTTAATTTTTAAACACTTTTTTTTAATATTTGTATTGTATATTATTTTATAATTATGCAATATGTTAATGCCCATCATTTTATTTAAGTATGTTAATAACAATTATATTATATTGTGTATGATATTATATCATTTTTTTTTTATGTAACTTTAATGTATTTATCATTGCAATTTTGAGATATTTTTAACTCAATTATATCCAGTCTTTAGCTATAACTGATTAGCTTATTATACCGTATGGTATGGTATAGTCCTATAGGCATTATATTACATTATTATTAATTATCAGATTTACTTGTTTGACAATGTGATACATATTATATTAATTAAATAGTCTAAAATTCTTCATAGAGCCTACTGATGCATTTCATTCTAACTTCTCAGTACTGGGTATATTGTTTTAATTACGATACGTAATTATTATATAATTTATATTTCCTCGTAATAATTATTTATGCATCCGGAAAACATTGAACAGTGACAACAATAAATACATATTCAGTACATACCTATACATACCAGTATTTTTAATTCCCATCACACGGAGAGAAAAAATATAATCCTTGAACAACGAAATAATGTGCAACAGCCAACAAAGAATCATAAAACTATATAACCACTTAATTCGGCGGTAAAGATTATTATTCGAATTAATATTGATTCCTATAATTATTATAGTTCATTATTTACATTGCGTAAGTTACACTCATATTAAAATTGTTTTTAAGTCAAATACAAAAAAATTAAGTTTGAGTGTTCCTGGTCTACACTCTACAGTGATTTATTCATCCATTATTTTTACACGTGTTTAGTTGTATATCCTATAATTTTATTTAACATTGAATTTCATTTCCGTAAAAGAAATTAAGAAGTAGGTACCTACCTATACCTACCATTATGTACCGTATGTTAGGACTTAAAACATCACTTCACATTTGACGCCATCTCAATATGTGCTTAATAGTTAATATATACAAATTACATTTTATACGATCACCGATCATTATTCATTAGTTACAATACTAAATAAATAGTACATTAAACAACTTATCTAAGTATTGATATATATATATAGATTATCATTATTTTGTTTCTATTTTTATATTAACAATAGTGTTTTATTTAAGATAATATTTCATTGCAAATGTTATGTACAAATTTAATAAGCACCCATTTCCATATTATAGGTAAATGTTATGGTATTATTAAACTCATGTCTGCATACTCTGTAGGTGGAGATTTTATTTTAGTTTTGTTGTAAATATGTATAAATTAGTTATAAAATTGATTTTTACTAAAATGTGTTCTTTTGGGATGAGTGAGGGACTTAATATGTATAGTAACTAGTTGAAATCAGTATCGTGCGAAAAAGAACCACTCTGGCTATAGTATGATAGTTGAGAACAAAATGTATACTAAATACAGTAGACCATATTATATTTTAGTTGTGTCTTAAAATTTTGAAGTGTTCGATATTATAAATAAAAAAAGTAATTTAAGTTAAGTTTAAAATTTTAAAACATAAAAATAATGCATATTAAAATAATAATACACATAAAATTACTGATGTTATCAAAAAAATTAAAAAATATTGCCTTCTTTATTGTATATAAAATTCAGTTTCTGTTAACTATGACTATAAGTTAAAACGTTAAGTAGTAATTTTTCCCGTGAAATTGTTTTTCTAGAGAAGCTATACCTAATATAATCTCGATACAACTAACAATGGTACTATAACATGGGACCACTTGTATTTTGAAAGTTACTTTAAATTAGTATTTAAATATATTTAATATTTTAATTGCTCAATCAAACCCCTTAAAAATTGAGTGTATTGTACCTTTTCAAGTTACCCAATCAGAGTATAAGGATAAAATGTAAAACTGGTACTTTACACGGACATACACAGTCACAACTCACGGCGTATGCAATATGCATGATGTATTAAGCTTTATTTTTAATTCTTAATCAAAGGAATCGGTTTAAATTATCTAAGTTAATAAAAACATATAAAAAATAACTGAAGAATTACAAGAAAAAAAATAAATATCAAATTTAAAAAAAAAACTTTAGGTCTATCGGTGTTGATAAAGTACTTTAAAAAATATTACCTGTGGTGATAAATTAGCCAGCGATGCATATGCAATGCTTTGTGGTACCATCGTGAGTCCAATTGTGATACCTGCTATCATATCACCCATCGCATTTTCACTGTTGTATTTTGGAAGCCACTTGGTGATCGGTACATGTTGGTGAAAGAACTTGTAGATTTTTTCGTTTTTAATCGCTCTTTGCATTTGTTTTTTCTTGGCATGATCGTTTGAGTTGGCTGCAAAGGAAAAGGTGTAATTAATAGATACATTTTATTTTAAATATAATATAAATTATAATATAATATATTAAATATTAAACGCCTACAAAGAACTTTTGAAGTGACAACTTTTACGTCTGTTCCGAGCGTTCTTGTAAGTTATATGAATTTTTAATTTTTAATTTATTTATTTATTCAGCCAAAACAATTACAATAAAATAATTACAATAAATTACATTAATAATAGCTGACACTATAGTTGAATTACTCAAATATGAATTTTAAATATATTTTACTATACACTATACAGATATACAAACTATTTACATTCTATTTTAAAATATATTATAAGACAATAATTATAATTAGTTATTATTTTAAATATGATTATGCTGCAGATAATTTTAAATAGGTAATATTGCTTCATAATATCAATTACTTATTATTATAATTAAGTATGACCTGCAGTGTTCAACGACTATAAATTATAAATATTATATAAAACTTATACAAATGAATTATTAATACCTATTTTATTTTACATAAATTGTGTTAAGGGTGATTCACCAAATGCTGACTTATTTTTTATATAATTTAAGGAGAATCCTGTACTCATGTGACAATATTACTTCCGTTTTTGAAATGTAAATCACGCTTTTAGTACAGTACAGTAACAGTACATTGTTAATTAGATAATTTTTTTGTCAATTTGGATGTTTCTAAATCTAAATTTAAACGAGTAAATTTTGAGTTTTTTAACTTTGTGTGCTAGAGATAACAGCTGTTAATTTGAACCTATAGGTCCGTGATAATAGAAATGGTAGATATGGGGACCGAGGGACACTTAAATAATTCAACATTTTAAAAAATTTAAACGTATAAATCAGCATTACGATACTTAAACCCTAAATACGCATTTTTATTACATATAGGTACATTATTATACGTAGGTATACATTTGCTTGTTATACAAAAAAATTATTTATAAATTATTTTCTATTTAAAAAATGTATTTGATACAATACTATAGAAGTACCTTTCAAGACTTCCAATTGTTCATCATCTAAACTGATCGTTCTCATTTGTGTATTAAAAATTCAAACTAGGTATATCATTAAGTACCTATAGGTAAATATATTTAAGTGTGCACGAATAATATTTATTCAGTTTTCTTTTGTGATATTATTATAAACAACGAGGAAGAGTGTTCGGAAAACACTACAAATAAAACACCTCCAATAGACTTCAAACATAAAGATATAAGAACAGGTAATTGATATTAATTACGATGTTAAACTTATAAATAGGTACCTATATACGTAATTTACATCAAACAATATAATGACAATTTTAGAAAAATAGGATAATTAAAGCGTTTAACATTCAAAGCACTGTTCAAATTCATAAACAAGTAAAATTATAAGTGGTAATGTATGGTTAACAATAGTCATTACTAAAAAAAAAAACAACGGAATTAATTGTAAATAACATAATTTGTTATCAGCTCATTTTTTAGTTACTTATATATTCCACAGTATTTATTTAATTATTTCACATATTATTAAAACTTAGTGAAACCACAATGTATGCATATGCAATATGCATACCTTCACAAGCGTAATTAAAAAAAAAAATTGCAAATTTTTAAAAACAAAATTTAGTTTTGGAAGTTCGCAAATTGTATTCTACCAAAAAGGACGTCAGCAATTTGAATTAATCTACAGTTACCATATCATATAGGCAAATATTATGCGCATGTGGATATTTATGCAACAAAATATACTGCAACACCTGGATTTCTTATTTTTGAACAAATATACTTCAATAACTAAAGGTCTATATGCATTTAAGAAACAGTGGTGGTGATTATCACAGTTTCACCAGACACCAGAGAATATAGGGATATGATTTTATAGAACTTAAAAACATAAAAGTAAAAACATCGTTGTAAGTCTAATAAACTTTATAGTCCAAAATCTAAAATAATAAAATACAATCAACTCGCAAATGTACAAACATACTGAACATATTATTTTATTAATGATTTTATTATTGTGACTATGAACAAAAAAAAAAAAGATGAGTTAAAGCTTTAAAGTAATTAAGCTTTAAATTTTAATTTTGTCCTAAGAAATACACTTTAAAGGAATAAAGCTCAATAAAAAAAGATAATTTTAAGCTTTTTTTACATTATTATGTGAAATAAAACAAAAATAAAATTGTTATCAAAATCAGACAATTCTACAAGGCCTAAAAATGTTTGAAGTCATTTTTGTTATATAATACACCGTGCTAATCCCCCACCCTATTATACAAGAATCAAGCAGTAGATTCGTGGAGAAGAATTATAATTATGGTGACAATTAAAATATAATTTTCAAATGTTCAAGAATTGTGGAAAATTTGAAAAATCGGCACCGTGGTTAGGTAATTGCAAAACAAGAAAAAATCACAACAAGTTTGTATTATTTGTAATTACATTGTTCTACATTTCTACATAACAAATCATAAAGCTGTTTTCAGTTTATACCTCTTGAAATGTTTTATTTATTATTTATTACCTATATATTTAAATTATTGGATATCTGTAGGTATTATTAGAAAAAATGAAAAACACATTACTTATTCGACTTCCTAAAATTGAACATTATTGTATTATTTTTATTATATAATATATTAAACATATAATATCCTAAATCAATTGGTTTCTGATAACTAATATGTAAAAATCAGATCTCGTTGTGGGACCGGAAATAGAGTAAAAATGTGTTCCGGGAAAACTTTTTTATAAAAACAGAAGAAAATGAACCAGATTAACCCTGATACACAAAAAACGAAAAATTCACTATTAATTATAGGTACCTACATAAAACAGCAATATGCTGAATTCCGTTGTACAACGTACATAATAATATTATGTAATAAGTAATAACTAATACCTAACGTATTAATACAATTTCGTCAAGGCAGCAGAAGTAGATATGTCTTCATATAGGTAGTGCTTATAGCTTATAGATAATTCTCAGCCATTTGCATTCGTCTTCACTAAAAATTTCGTTATATAACCGACACCAGTGAAATAAAATTATAATAATTATATATTTATACCTATATGATGTGTATTCTGCGTGTATGCTAATAATTATAATCAATAGGAGAAAATGGATTAATATCGTTATAGAGAAGACGGGATGACTTACGTTTTGTCGTCTCTTGCATTTTTGGCGTTACACACAGACCGATAGTATGTATAATAATAATAAACGATGGTCTGTCGAATTTCGAATCACCTGCAGCTGTTATCAAGACGTTCGTGGGCGATTGATGCACGACGAATCGCGATCCACTGCGTCCTTAGGTTTGATGATCGACTGAAAAGACGCGTTTTTTGCATAATTTTTTCACGTCGTCTAGCTAATCTAAGAGCTGCGACCGACTCTCAAGTGGCACAAATCCCGCGATTGCGGTGCGGACGGACTGATAAAACCGTCGATGATTATTAAAATATAATATATATTGTTGTTGTTGTTTTTACCGACCCGAAAGCAGGAGTCTACAACTATTACTACTGATATCTGCAGACCGCCAGCGAAGGCACCGAGAAAAATACACTGTTTTATGGACAATTCCGTCTGTAAAGCGATAGTAGGTAGGTACAATCTGCGTTTCCAAACCGATAATAAATCTGTAATATTATTAAAATATTATTGTGTGATCATTTTTTTTCATCGCTGGACCTTGGCACCCGGTCGCAGAGGCGACTCTGACGTGCCTAGATGATATTTGACGCTACGGCGGTAATCCGGTAATCAATCATTGTACAATATTATTGTTGATCTGAAGTGCATTTTTCTATTGTCACTAGGTTAAAAAAACACCAACCGACCGCACTAATGTCTAAATCAATCGAATAAACACAAAAGAAATATTCGACAAACATCGTTTGTTATGTATATGTTCTGCAGAACTCGCGTTCATAATTTTATCATCGTTCGAAGAACTGTTAATAGGTAGGTTTATGATTATAAATTACTATGCAATTTGTTTACCCATACAGTACATAATAATCATATATATATAGAATATTATATTGTAATGCGTGCGATGAAAACAGATCTAGTTTCGAGTACCGATGTGTGTGTGTAGGTAGGTACCTACTACACTATTATACGTCATAAATTTACAATTATGAACAATAATCATCAAACCACGCTTTTGTTTACCACCGTATACAACAACTTGTATAGATACCTACTTAATAGTTTTATTAAATATTATAACTTATAATTACCTACGTATATATATATTATATAGTAGATAGTTACTTTTGTGAAAATCTCGACATTTAGGATGACACTATAGAGATAAAAAAAACACTCAAAATAATTTTGTTGTTTTCAAGGTGCAAAACAACTATTATACCTAGGTAAAAGATATGTGTATAATATAATTAAGACTATTGGTACCCATTTCCATCACTCTCATATACCTTAGAATCTTTAGGTGACTGTCCATTAAAAATGAAAACTGGAGTTGGTTCTTCGATGGGCAATGGGCATCTTGCATCTATAAATATATAATAGCTCAAACTGTTTGGGCAGGCTTTAAATCCAAAATGGATAAATATTATCCTAGAGAGATATAATATATCCAAACGTAATTCGTTTGGAAACTTTTCAACAAATATATGAAGACTACAGACAAAATAAAATTGACAGAAAATGCTTTGTTTCATCATCAAGCTATAAATATAAAAAACGTGAGTAAGCTAGTATTATAAGTACCTAGCTAGGTATTTTATTTCAAAAATGATGTGTTATATTACAAAAATTGTATTACTAAACGAAAATTTACTTATTTAATATACATGGAATTCGTTTTACTTGTATACTTTTATTTATAATTATAATATGACTGATTTTTATATGTTTTATTATTAAACGAAAATTTACTTAGGTATTTAATATACATGGAGTTCGTTTTACTTGTGGCGCTAATTACAATTTCAATAAGGTGAACTATGGCGCAAATTACAACTTTTGTAGGTAAACGATGGCGCAGATTACATATTGCCTTTTTATTTAGTTTCATTTGGCGCAAATTACAAACTTAAAAAGTAGCGCAAATTACCAAAATACAATTTTAGATGTGGCGCAAATTGCATATTTGTTTTTTTTTTTTTTTGTTGTTGTTTTTGGAGCAAATTACATACGCCCAAATATTCTACAGTTTTTGTCCCTACTTGACCCCTTTCCCTTTCAAAAATAAAAATAAAATATGTGGCCTGGTAATGATTTGAATGGCCTGCAAACTTTTTGGCACCAACAAAAAAAAAGTTTAAATGACGCCCCTGGCGTGAATGCGAATAAAACTATAAACCATAGAGTACCATAGGTCATTTATAAAATTACTCTATGCATAAAACGCCTCTCACGCTCCATGGTTATCTATCTATGAGGATAAATTTGATAATAAAGCTGATAAAAAAAGTTAAATAAACATATTATTACCTAAACAAAATATTTATATATACTATATAGTAGCTGCGGTATACTATAAAATAGTAAAATATTAAAATATGAATATTATATATGCCTACATTACACCTACGTCCTACATTATACCTGCATATCGTCGTTGACACGAAAAAACCTCCTATGTGCCAAATTTTCGATTTTGAGATATTGGTATCCCTGGATTCAGAAAAAATAGGCGGTCATTTTGATAAAAACTCCTATGTGATATCTCCATCGTAGAATTAATGAAAAATAATATACAATTCCTCCTATGTGTTACCAACCATAAATAGTTTATGAAATACCTCCTATGTGATTAAAATATTGGTCAAAATTACATTGGAGATATTGGCATGCAGAGTAGATGTAGTGTCGTGTATGAAATATGCACATGGGAGATTTGTCCATGTTCATAAATGATAATAACAATTTATATTTTGTATTATAATTTTCTATAATTAGTTACCTATGAAACAGAAAAGTGAGAAACTATGTTTTTTTTCAACTATGATAAGAAATCCAAATACTGGTTACTATTACATTATTATTTTTAACTTTTACCTTATATGTTATAATTCTAAAAAGTATATTTTAAGTATTTTGAGTAACTATAACTTGTTTTTTATTTTATTATCAGGACTGAAAAAGTGGTTAACTATTTTTTATTGTTTTTTTTTGTTGTAATGTTTTACATTTTATAATTAGTTATAACTTATAAAAGTTAGCAATTATGTTTTGTTAGTACATTGATAATATTATAAATATAAAGTTTAAAGTTATTTTGTTTTATTATGTTAAGTATTTTATACAATTATAATTAATTGTTAATAAATATTTATTTCTTAGATAACACAACTTAGTTTTTTTTTTATAAAATCGTTCAAAATAAGTTTTATTATTATTACTCTGGCACCAACTATTATTCAAATAACCTCCTTTCTACTGTTTGGCAAAAAAGATTGATTAACATAATATCCTATGTACTGTTTGGCAAAAAAGATTAATTAACATAACCTTCTATGTACTGTTTGGCAAAAAAAAATGATTAACATTACCTCCTATGTGATGAAATATTGACAATTTGTACAATAAATACATATATATAAATTTTTTTTTTACTTCAATTTTTTTCAGAATAGAAATGTATATTTTATTACGTTTTTCAAATGTATTTTCATTAATCATTGATGATTTGTGATTTTTTAAAACGTTTTTCGTCTCTCCTGAAAAATTAGGTTTAAGTACATGGGAGGTTTTTTCGTGTCAACGACGATATATATTTTTTATATTTTTATGCATATTTAATTATAATGACGCATAGGAGCATCAGTGGAGACTGGAGAGCCAACTATTAAGTTATTGCGAGCTTCTAATTCTGTTGTACTTATGTTATCTTGCTGACTTTCTGTATATCAGAGTTCACAGTATAACTTTTACTGTGCTAGCGTTTTATGTTATAGGATTCAAGTCCGTTTGTATGAATAAATAAGTACCTATATTATCATAATTATCATAATGGAACCAATAAACCTAAAAATTATCTAAACTCAATTTTTGAACGAAATATTAGTTATTCAAACAGAGAATGACTTGAGTTATTTTTTTTAATTCAAAAATATTTTTCTTGAGAATCGAAAACTTTTAAGTACAGAAGCATTTCAAGTATAGGTATATACGACTATATATAATTATAATATAAACAATCTATAAACATGTTCTATTAATTGAATAGATAGCAACCGTGGTATAAATTTATGCCACGAACCTATTCACACTCTTTTACAGTAGGTAAGTAGGTATATACTCAAAAGTTAATAACAATAATCGGTTGACGGTTAATAACACAAATATAAATATAATAGGATTATAGGAATACCTACTATTATATTAATAATTATTACCTAATTGTAATAAACGCAATAATGCCATTTGTCGGCAAGAATTAATTTTACTTAAGCAGGTAGGTAGGTATTACCTACTTTAATAGTAAAATAACTAATAAGTCAGTAAATCACCATATTTATAGCATTATAAATATATCACAAAATATGCTCAGTAGTCAGTAATATACTAATATCTATAGGCTTACAGACGGTCTTCACTCCTTTTTTCCTTCCCAGAATCCTTTTTCGTTTATAATGATTGACCATTGAACACAAACATTTTTACAGTGACTTACTCAATGATGCGATACACTCGACACGTCCAATTCACTATTGTACAGCAATTTCCTACTTTTCCTACTTTATTTTCTGTATGTAGGTACCTACAGTGGCGTCCGCAGGGGGGGGGGGCTAAAGGGCTGAAGCCCCCCCCATTGCCCGTATTATTGTTACTTTTTCAAAAAAATATTAATCAAGTTAAGCTGTCAACTATAGTAAGCAAGAAGTAAATTTCATATGTGTCTTACCAGAATGAATTCATTTTTGAAAGAACATTGTATTTGCATACCAATTTTCATAAATTATCTATAAATTTTAGGTAAAAGTATGAACTACTTGTATGAAAGACCTTGTATTAAATTTTCTAGCTTTAGCTATATATATATATTTTATATTTTATAAGTTTTGAACAAAAAATTAACTGTCATTTTGACGAAATTTGAACTTTAAATGCTTATAAAAAATAACCATGGTGCCTATATAGTGTTTTAAGTATGAAATATTTCACAAAAACGTGACACATTGAAATTTTTTTACACAA